TCGACAACGCTGTGCTCCCCAGCGCCCTGTGGGTGGTGTGGGTCTCTTGCATTGCACATGTACAGTGCAAATGCATTTACTGGATGCTCTTCGTCCACATCACAAGCAATCTAAGATTGTCCGAGCACATCAAGACCATGCAGAAATCTCGCGCAGTACTAATATGTGCTTGCTTCAGTTTTAGGCTGCTGGGTGCTGTATTCTTTCAATGGTCTTGAAAGTTCAGACTAGATCTGCTGTTCCTCTCTGAGCGATCATGAATCATAAAAGTGGGTTTGTCTGAAAATGGCATACCTCCCATTTATACAATGGTTTATCAGAGTTTTCTCGATTAAAATGATGATAATGATAATGGTAGTATGCTCCCACTGCATCCTGTTGTGTTTCGTCGCTGAATCCCCATGAAAAAATCATGGTTAAACCACTATTTTCAACAGTTTTCATTGAAAAAACATCCCAGCGTCTCCTAACTCATTGATGAAATTCCATACCCTCTGGTAAACTGACATAGCTACTGAACATGGCCATAAAAATAGTGGATCTACCATTAAAACCATGAGTGGATTTTCCATAAGTATGTAAACGTTTACCAGGTTGGGTAACTTTAATCTGGTTGCTCCAATGATTATCCTCCCATATCATCTCCGCATGGCTTGGTGTTGCTGGCTAAATCCCCAATACATAACCACGGTATCACCATAATATTCACCACCATGGTAGTTGTCTGATGGTAGTTTCATCCATGAACGTTTTGGTCCATATTATGGAACATGATGGTGTATATTGTGGTGATACACTGCTAGCCAGAATTTCCTGACCTCACTATATAACATATTGTTCACCATGTTAATTATTCATTCTATATAATTCTAGTTAAAATTTCAATGAGTTTGGGGAATATCAATGATAACCATTGTATCAGCATAGTAATGCTTTTATTTGATGGTAATTTCATAATGAATTCGATCTAATAATCCAATAGGTATAATATGGTACAATACTATCCAATCTTCCAAAATCTTGTATGAATAACCATGGTATCACCATAACAACCGCATTTCTTAACTGATACCCTTTGGTTATTTAACATAGCCATGGTATAGATGGCCGATTTATATACAGTAGATGGTTTACCTATTAATAGCATGGTGGATCTTTCCATGGCTATGTGACAAATAACCAGATGGTATATAGATTTAATCTATAGTTAATGGGATTATCATATATAAACTATATATATATAGATAGCTGGTAAACATTAACTATAAACTATATGTTCATCCATGAGTCTGGAACATTTTCCCCCAGCCTCCAAGCATCTCCCTCAGCAGCCCCAGCCTGTTGTCCGTCCGGCCCCTGCACGCGAATCACCTGCCCCGGCCGGCTGCCGTGCGGCACCACCACCCGAAAGCCCGGGAGCGCGGGGGCGGCAGGCGCGGAGCCGCGGCTGTTGCGGGGGGTGGTACCTGGGGCACTGGGCAAGGCATGTTTGGATGGAAAAAGTGGCTGATTTTACTTGAATTTACCAAGTTGGGTGGGAACATTATAGTTTCTTTTGATGGGAATTTCGGTAAACTCAGATTTTTGGATGATGGAATGCGCTCTTCTACTGGATAAATCACTATAGTTGTTTAAAGATTGTACAGTGCAAGCAATCTGCAGCTATTGCTGGTTAAAACATGTTAAAACGCTGCAAGAAGATGGCCAGGAGCTGGGTGGATATTTTGTCTGGAAGCAGTTGGAAAATACAGAATGCTTGTCAAGACATCTGATTTCCACCAAACTTTTATCCACAGTTTTGGTACAGACTGGGACAGTTGAACAATTCCACGATCTAGTTCTTTTTCTTACTACCTGCTTGGTGAAAGCACGATGGTTCTCAAGCTGGTTCTCAAACTCCCGTGCCATTGATCCCCATCGGATTGCTAAGAATGAACTCAGAATGACTCGACAAATCTCGACAACCAACTTTGCAAAAAACATGGCTGCAAAAAAACAACACACATCATATACCCACACATTTTCTCCACAGATTTTTATGGATGATTCAAAAAATCAATCCGTTCAAGCCATCCAACCCATCCAGCAGCTATCCAGGTACAAGTCCTGAAAACGCCAAGCGGCTGCGTTTCGCAGATCCCTTGTCCTTCTTCCCCAGAAGCAAATCCCTGCGCCGATCATCAATCCATCGCTGGGATTTAAGGATCTTCTCGATGGATTGATATGTTTGATGGATATTTTTGTTCTGGATAACACCAAAAATAGATGGTTATGATATGATTCTGTGGATGGTTGCGAAATCATTTTATGGATATTTCATGGAGAACACCAAAAATAGATTTTGATACTGTGGATGGAAGAAGAAATCCTGCACCACTTGGATGGTTGAAACCCACTCCAAAATGGGATCTTTGCCACCAATCAACTGGTGCAGGCTTTTGCAACCATCCACAGTAGGTTTTGGCTCATGACCAAAAATTGTTTCCGAATGTGATCGGGGGTCGTTCCACTCGTCAACAACAATACATACTATGTTTTTGGCATAAGTGTGTTTGTAACTCTCTCGTAGCCACCGGTAGTTCTACCCAGCCTCTACAGTATGTTGAAAATGATCCTCCAAGCATGATATCTCAGACATCCTTGCAAAAAATATAGATGTTCAGCTGGATAGCAGGCATACTGCTCCATTTTTTGTGCATAATCATAGCTTCTTGTCGAACTTTCAATGGAGCTGACGGGGAAAAATCTTCACCGGAAACCAGAGTTTTTGCATAAATTAAACCCAGATTTTTTGGGTTTTCCTGCAGATTTTCCCAGCAAATTTAAGGGGAACATCCAGCCGCACTCAGCTGTTGAATATCCAAGGCTCAACTCCTCTACAAAAAAAACACGGTGTTTCACCACGCCCAACCATGGATACCCTATACTCTTCACCAAGGGGCAGCCACATTTCATATCATTTCTACCATGATGGAGGTTTCCGAAGACATGGAGGTACCCCTAGTTCTCATCCATTTTAGATTGGGATTTTCCATGATAAAACATCCAGCTATTGGGGTACCTACATTTTAGGAAACCTCCTAATATCTTGATGGTGAAGTCCACCCGGGTGTTCGACGCCTCAACGTCTGCGACGTCGAGCGGAAGACCATGGTGTCGCGAAGGCCGCAGGTGTGCAGTTTTCCGTGACGGTTTTTATGGTTTGTAACTGTAGGTTCATGCTCACTATCCGAAAACATTTGTAACTCTAGGTTTAAACCATACTGATGACTTACTTCAATCATTTTTATGGTGTGTAACTCTAGGTTTAGGGTAAATGGATTTGATTTGAAGTCGAGATGGACTGAACTCTACTTGTCTTTCTAGGTCAACGGTCCATATTCACCGGAGAATTCAAATCAGCATTGATTCCCGGCATTCGATCTACAGATTTCAGATTTTTTCAAAGATGGGTCCAAATCATTATATCATAATGAAGGTGTTCATTGCGTGTATCCTGTCACTTTGAAGATCATTGCATGAAACTATTTTTGCCTGAGATCTTTCTTGCGTGAAAAACTCTAGTTCCCGATGCCAGAAAAACCCTGGGGTGCATCCCAGCAAATCGATCAGATATCACAACCATCTACTGTACATAGTATCATGTCATGATCTCATGTTATAGATGGGTTCTAAAATGTTATAGATGGTTATAACATTGCTTTATCTGTATGTATATGAATGCAACACCCCGAACAATATGTGACTTAGCTTCGGTTCAAAACACCAGCGCGGTGCTCAAAGCTACCAGATCTACAAGTGCAGGTGACTTGGCGATGTTTTTTTTTCCATGGCCAAGGCGCGAAAGGATGTCCCGAAAAGTTTCATCCAGTTCGATCTCACATGGGATAGCAATCCCCGAAAAAAAATGTAGATCAGTGTGAAACAAACCAAGATGTTTTAGATGACATTTACTTCATATTTCCAGGTTTCTCACATTTTCTCACTTTCTATCTTTTCGGGGGCTGCTATAATTTGACAAACTCAAAGTAAATGGGATGAATTAGGAGATTAACTCTAAACAATGGGATTTAACAACAGCCAAGCGGGGAGATCTGCTTAATGAGATACAATGGGAGAATATGGGAGAATCATCTAGTTCTATGGAATCTCACATGGGTTCATTCTTCTTGCCATTTAGAACAGGCTGGAATTACAACACAAAACGGACAGGACAATCTAGGCCGAGTCTGAAATGGGTCAAAATCAAAGACATCCCACCATTGAAGTCTTCTGCTGTGGTCGAACAATTTTGACCCTCAGCTTTTCTGGTTGGTGGTGACTTAACCATCTTGAAAAATGATGGAGTTCGTCAATGGGTTTCGGATGACATCCCACATATGAAATGGAAAATAAAACATGTTTCAAACCACCATCCAGATCATTATTAACCAACATCTAACCAACATTATTAACCACTGTCAGTGTTAACCCCATGGTGTTTGAAACCACCAACCAGTTTTCATTTGCTTTCGGTAGACTTGAACAAATATCATGCATCCCGGTGGCTGGTGAGACCCTCAGATTTCTACAAGTAGTTGTGGGATAGCCTAAGGAATGGAGACTGAATTTCGATCATCACTGTTATCACTGTTTTCCACCAGAAATTGCTTTGATTGGTGCATCCAAGTATGGATAAACGGATAGATTCGCCACACAACACATCATTTTTTGGCAGCATGGCAAGGCTTGTCGACACGTAGGGCCCCCCAAAATCCCATTGGTATACTGTAATTTTCAGCATTTCCCCATGGCAATTTGGGGTTATACTGTTATACCTTATTTCTGGACGAACACGTAGAATGTGGTACGGCCTAGTTGAACTAGTTGTAAGTTACTTTATAAACCCGTGGAAGTACTGCGTAGCCAACGAACTGGGGCACCACCTTGTATCGTTTTTTTTTCCCCTTTATAGCTTTTCCCTGGCAATAGATCCACACAAAATTGTGCATCAGCCCCACCTCACGGCGGTCCAGGTCACACTTGTTGCCAATGAGCATGATGACCTCAGCACCATTGGTACCCATGGCTACCCATTGCTGTTGATGGGACCCAGTGTCCATATGCTAATGAGCAGCCCCAAAGCTACTGAGCTACTGGCCGCTGGCCAAATTTTGCCAGTTTCTAATTGAGTTCAAATTCCCAACTAAACCACACAAATAATCAGCAAACACAACATTGTTTATATCCCTTTTTTGTTGGTTGACGTTCCTATGTTAAATGGAAATTGGCTAGTTGTATTATGTTGTATCCCCAGATTCCAATGCTGAAGTATTTGTATCATGTTGTATCCCCAGATTCCTCACTGGCACTTGAATCACTTAGTAAATCTCTTTCAGCTGTTTTATGAAAATGAAATAAACCAAGTGATTTATTGATCTAAGTCATGACTAAATAGATTGTGATTTTGGTGATAAGTAGTTACCAATCTATAAACCAATGAATTTCTGTTTATTGGTCCTCCAAGTCTACTTATCACCAAAGAAACAGGAGGAAAAACCTGGGCTCCCATAAGGTCCCCCCAAAACATCACACGTACTGACTATCAACATATGACATTCCCCAGTCATCGTGGTTTAACCAATTAGAAAAGGCACATAAAACCATCAACAACACCAGATGCCGATCATTTTCACATTTTCATCGCTTCATGAAATTTATATATAATCCCTACCCTCTGGTAAACGTTTACATAACTATGGAAAATTCACCCATTTTCAATGGGTAAATCCACTATTTCAATGGCCATTTTCAATCGCTTTTTGTATGTTTAGGAGGTTGGGTAATTAGTCATTACCAGAGGCTAATTCAGGGATGATAATCCCATGAAAGCATCATTTTTCTCCATGGTTTGATGCAACAACCGTCTGCCGCGGAGCCATGTTGGCGTTGGCGTTCTGCCGCGCCTCATCGAGCCTTGAGTCACTGGAAGACATTGGAATGGGACTTGGGACTTTAGCATGAAAACATGGGCATTTAATGCTGGTTGGTGGTATAGCTACCCCTCTGAAAAATATTAGTCAGTTGGGATGATTATGCCCAATAGATGGAAAAATAAAGAATGTTCCATACCACCAATCAGAGTGAGATTTCATGGCGAACTAGTGAGATTTAACATGATTTAACACTATACGGTAGATGGACAAAATATTCTGAACCCCCGCACCCCCAAATCTTAATGTTTCAGGGCGCGTGTTACCAAGAGTGATGTTAGGGGCTTGATTTCTTTCGTCCATTGGGGCTAATGCACTTCAGGTTACATTAACATCGAACTTTGGGGGCGAAGGGGTTGTACCGGATAGAAGGGGTTTGAATATTTCGTCCATCTACGGTACCAACTGGGGTGTGCGGCATCCTGCATCGGCGCAGCTGCACCGCTGCATTCCCACAAGAAGCACTTGACAAAAGCGAAGGAGGATTGGAAATACAAGGAGAACGTAGAGATTCAGCAAATGCACAAAGCCTTGCGCATCTCGTAACTACACACCACATGCCCACCTTTGTTTGCTTCGCAGGACTCCATTACGGATTTTCAGGCCGTCACCCAGGGCGCCAGTCTGGCGGACACGATTGTGACCGCCGCTGACTTGGCTTCGGGGAGGGCGGGGAGGGCTCGTGCCGCGGACTTGAAGCCAAGTCCTCTTGCTGGTCCTTTTGCCGGCGCTCTTCCTCAATACGACCCCAAAACGTATTGGCTTCTCGCTCCTCCGGAGTGATGGAGTCCCAGGGCCTTCCCGCCCATGACCGCGATCATGGCTCCATATCAGGCCATTCAGCCAGTTGCGGAGCAAGGTCAGGGTCATCCATTCCCTTGCCGTGTTCCCACAGCGCACCGGGATCGACCTCCAGCTCTTCATCCTCTGAGTCCATGGCACCAAATACACCAATAGTTGAAGTTGCGAGTATGTATGTATATATATATACATATATTTCTACACATATATATATACGGCAAATGCCTGGGTTCTGCCCGGACCCGCAACGATGACGGGCGACGCAGCATCATCATCATCATCATCATCATCAATCAAACCCTTATTGACGATCTTCAATGCATGTTGAAGTTTTAACGGGGGTGGGAGAATTAAACCCTTATTGAAGATCTTCTATGAATGTCGAAGTTTAACGGGGGTGGGAGAATTAAACCCTTATATTGAAGATCTTCAATGAATGTAGAAGTTTCACGGGGGTGGGAGAATTAAACCCTTATTGAAGATCTTCAATGAATGTAGAAGTTTAACGGGGGTGGGAGAATTAAACCCTTATTGAAGATCTTCAGTGAATGTAGAAGTTTAACGGGGGTGGGAGAATTAAACCCTTATTGAAGATCTTCAGTGAATGTAGAAGTTTAACGGGGGTGGGAGAATTAAACCCTTATTGAAGATCTTCAATGAATGTAGAAGTTTAACGGGGCGGGGAGAATTAAACCCTTATTGAAGATCTTCAATGACTGTAGAAGTTTAACGGGGGTGGGAGAATTAAACCCTTATTGAAGATCTTGAATGAATGTAGAAGTTTAACGGGGGTGGGACAATTAAACCCTTATTGAAGATCTTCAGTGAATGTAGAAGTTTAACGGCGGTGGGAGTATTCCCTAATATCTTTGTTGATCTTGCCAATTGAATGTAAAGTTTAACGGGGGTTGGAGTTTAATATTCCCTAATACCGTTTTTGTTTTTCCCATAGGAATTTCGGGTGTTTTGACCCCTTTTTTTTAAATAGTCCCTAGTACCTTTGCTGTTTTTCCCATAGGAATTTAAGGTTTAATGGGGGTGGGAGTTTAACATTCCCTAATATCTTTGTTGATCTTCCTAATTGAATGTTAAGTTTCACGATTTGAGAGTTTAAAATTTCCTAGTACCTTTTCTGTTTTTCTCATAGAACTGTTTTTGTTTTTCCCATAGGAATTTCGGGTGTTTTGACCTTGTTTGTTTAATAGTCCCTAATACCTTTGTTATTTTTCCAATAGGAATTACTGTAATTTGCAATATCATTTGTTTGTGAATTGTAGATATATACGCTGCAACGCCTGGGCAGAACCCAGGCGTTGCGCGTATATATATATATATATATATCTACATATGTATATCTACATATATATATCTACATATATAAATATATCTACATATATAAGTATATATATCTACATCTCAATATATATATAAGAATATCTACACACACACATTTATATATATATATCTACATATATAAATATAGAAATATATATCCACAAATAAACATATATACATACACATATATATATATATATTTACATATATATATATATATACATATACATATATACATATGTATATATATATACATATGTATATATATTTACATATATACACATATTTACATATATATATCTACAAATATATATATCTACATATATATATACATATATATATCTACATATCTATATATCTCCATATGTAAATATATATATATATATGATGTAGCTATATCTATTCTGTTGTGAAAACATCGCTCTGCATGCTGCTGATCCTTTTCCAAACTGCGCAAAACATTGCCTTTTCATAAGTAAATTCCTCCTGTCTGTCTCCCATCCCGAATTTTTCCTATTCCCTAATTCATAACTTATTCCAAAATGCGCAAAACATTGTGTTTCACAGGTAAACGCTGCATGTCTCTCTCTTCCAATTTTTGCCTATTCCCCAATTCACGACTTATTCGTTTGACGTGGCCCTGCCAATCGATTTGGAAACTTGAACAGGGACGGGAGACAGACACAAAAAATTGGGACGGGAGACAGACAGGAGGAATTTACTTATGAAAAGGCAATGTTTTGCGCAGTTTGGAAAAAGATCAGCAGCATGCAGAGCGATGTTTTCACAACAGAATCTGGAGACCAAAAGATGTGAAAACATCAGAGAGCGAGATAGTAGATGGAGAAAATATTCAAACCCTGTAACACGCACTATGTTGAACCCCCGCACCCCCAAATCTTAATGTTTCAGGGCGCGTGTTACCAAAAGTGATGTTAGGGGTTTGATTTCTCTTGTCCATTGGGGCTAATGCACTTCAGGTTGCATTAACATTGAACTTTGGGGGCGAAGGGGTTGTACCGGATAGAAGGATAGATACAAGTGATCCCTTCCCTCTAGTATTACAGCTCCAAAACTATGGTTTAATAGATTATATAGTTGTATATTATACTCATCTTTGGGATCTTTAGGGTGTTTCATATGGGGGATTTTTTAAATTTCCAGGATGGAATATGTGAGGATATGTGAGGAAATTCCCCATAATTTCCATCTTTCCAACTTTTTGGCATCGGAGCTTGGTAAAGTATAGCGACCCAACTGGCGGAGGCCACCTTGGGCAAAAGTGACCATTCATGGAATCTACCGTAGATGGACGAAATACCGTTTACGAAATCGCAAAAAGTTGGTGAACATCACCTCAATAAGTATGGTTTATGATACCTATTGGTTTATGACACCTATTGGTATGATACGTATTGATACCAACCTATATAACTTTTGAATGTTTATGGTACTTATTAAACTTATACCTATAACTATAGTATTCATAGGGTTTAAAAACCAACTTATAATCTTTGACCCATCTCCCATCTCCGCGCCAGCGGGTGAGGTGGTTGAAGGTGTCGCGGCGGGAAATGTCGTAGACCTAAAGGCTTCGATGGCTTCGCTATGCGCGAATGAAGGGCAGCTTGGAGCCGGAGTTTTTCGGAACTTTCAATGGGATAAGAATGGGATTTCATGGGATTTAATGGAATTTAATGGGATAATCATGGAATTTAACGGAATTTAATGGGATAATCATGGAATTTCATAGGATTTCATGGGTTTTGTAGGTGTTTAATGGGATGATAATCGGATAATCATGGAAGACTACCAATGGCTATACTGTAGTGGGATTGTATGAGAGAAGAAAATATATGGAACATCCAGCAAAAGACCAATATGGTATCACTTTTGAATGGGATTACCCTCTGGTAAACGTTTACATAGCTATTGAATGCTATTTTCATGGGTAAATCACCTATTTCTATGGCTATTTTCCAGTTCGCACACGGTAAACGTCATTTCCAGAGGATCATTGGAGAATGTGGATTCCGCCAGCGGCATCCAGCCATTTTCGCAGCGATGAGGGAATCGTGCGAAACCGAATGGCAGGGCAGACGTGCGTAGTCCGGATGGCCCTGAATGTTCGCCTTGGTTCGCCAGGTCTCTGTTCAATCGAATTTTCGACCACCAACGTGGTGGTGACCCGTCGCGTCGCAAGGGCTTTTTCGAAAGGGCACGTCTTCACCATCAATTCCTGCACTGTCTTCCTTCAGTTCCTCATCCCAAGGGCACCAATGATTTTGAATGAGTTCGACTGAGGGCAGCAAATGGGTCTGCTGGTTCGTCTCAAGAGTGATGATATAATTAGTCGTTTATTTCACACTCGCCGAACAGGTTCAGGTTCAAGGGCTCAAGGAGATGATTGGGCGTCCAAGCCGTATGTTCAGGTTGGCTTGAAAAGTGGATGGGCAACGTAATTTGATTCAATAATGGAAGTGTTGCAATTGGGATCTCTTCTCAAGCACTGAGGACCCAGACCATGAGGACTTACTGGCTATGTGGTAAAGCCAATAGTGATCTATCTCCTGCTTTGTCATTGAGAATTGCTTATTTCGGATGGATTGAGTGTAAGAACCCCAAGTGGTTAGTTAATGAGGATGTGAACTTTCATTTGCAAGATGCATAAGACACAAACATACACTCTAATTTAGTTTTTATTCTGCTTAATTATATTGATGTGCTGAAAGCCAGGCCAAATGCTTCCTCCATCCTCTCGCCACTCTTTTGTTCATCCCAAATGGCTGCCGCCTCATAGTCCCCAAGATATTGGGAAAAAATATATGGGCCGCCCCTATTTAATTATCTGGTTGGTGGTATACCTACCCCTCTGAAAAATATGAGTTCGTCAGTTGGAATGATTGTTCCATATAATGTGAAAAATAAAAAATGTTCCAAACCACCAACCAGTTATCAAGCAACAGAGTTAAACAAAAACTGCTCATTTGGGACTTCTGTAAAAAGCTTGGTCAGGCTGGGCGATATTTCATGATCTTCCTATTTCTCTTGGCTATCGTCTGGTGATCCAATGAGCCATAGACAAACTTGATGTGCTCATGGCTAGGGGACATGCTCCCAACTAGGCATTTCAATTTCCTCATCATTGCCGCGGCCCCAATTTACCCATGCCGAACCACTCTGGGGCAGTGACCCAGGTCTACTTATGTGAGCAGTGCATGAAACTTATCCTCCAATCCCATCTTGGAATCCCTGGTTGATATGAATATCATTGCCATATACTTCCCATGGGGATGTATTATCCAGTACCCTCTGGTAATTTAACATAACGAACTGGAAAATCACCATTTTTCATGGGAAAACTCACTATTTCTATGGCCATTTTCAATAGCTATGTTAGTCATTACCAGAGGGTATATTGTATTACCCATTACTGTAAGAGATACTATCATTCCCTATGGTCTTTAGTATTACCCAACCAAAAATCGGGGATGATCAGAATCAATTGGGAATTTTTTTCTCGACCAATTCGCCTCTGAAATCACAGGAAGAGGGTTTGGTACATGTCCCATTTTCGGGGATTTTGAACATCACTAAAACAAGTATCTGTTGCAGATTATATCCCCAATATTTGGGTGATGTGAAAAATCAGGACATTTACCCTCTGGTTATTTAACATAGCCATGGAAAATGGCCCATTTATAGATGGTTTACCTATTAATAGCATGGTGGATCTTTCCATGGCTATGTGACAAATAACATCAAGTAACCAGATGGTACCAATCCCTGAGGAACATTCCCAATTTGCCCATCATTTTTGCAAAAATACCTCCGATTTCTGGGATTTCCTAGCCTTTTTCTTGATTGCGGAAGGGTATGTTCAATGGGAATTCCAGGATCCTAAAATGGAGGTACGTTAGTACCATATGTTTGGCCATATTTTGTGGGGATATTCCCTTGCATAGGCCTAAAAAATAGGCCTTATATATGGTAGGTACCTCCAATCAATCGGTTCCTGAAATGGCCATTGATATGTTAGCTGTAAACCTATTTGTATAACCATATAGGATGGGCCCCCCAGTCGATAGCGTTCAGTTGCCTGAAAAAAGTGGCTGAATTCGATTGGGTTTATGGTAGATATAACGAACTAGTTAAACCAACTTATAATTGGGGGGCCACATCCTGTAGTAATATCATAGTAAATCAACTATAAACCTAAATTCATCATATTTGATGTTTAAATCCTAACCCATAGGATCCATGTATGCTATAAATGGTAACATGGATCCCAGCAATATACCCCCAATGTTAGCATATATACCAGCACCATGGATCCTATGGGTAATGTCAGGCTCACTTCTTGGGTCCGATGTCCGAACCCTATCTGCATCGAAGCAGCCAAAAGGGCTCCACTGGCACCACGGTAATAAGACCTGGCATCGATAAGGAGCGACTACGTGGCTCGATTTTGGGCTGTAAGAGATGATACAAAATAAGATCGGAGGAAGAACAGTGGAAATTGTAATGTAATGTCAACCCCGGATTAATAAACCCTAGGCTGTTTAATTGGGGATTGGGGGGTGCCATTTCAATAGCCATTTATAATACTATTTGGGAGAACCACCACAATTAATCAACCGGGGTTGATTAATTCGGGGTTGACATTAAATGATATGCAGCTAAAAGTACCAAGAAATGCCAGATCATGTGGAACGGGAAGGAATGATATGAGCACAGATTCTATGTATAAGGCTGAAAGGTGCATACAAATGCAACCTCAAGTGCAAAAAACAGCAAAAAACATATACCGAGATATCAAACTGGCTACTTTAAAAATGGATAGGCCCCCTATCAATTGGATTCAAACACACAATTCGATGGATCCAAGATTAAAGGAATATGCCTATGACGTCTTATGACAAAACCCACACATAACGCCACTGAACAGAGCAAACCCCAAAATAGATATGAAAGTTGGAAGCGTGGAAAATAATAGGGGAAATATCATGTATAACATCCTGGAAAGAAAAAAACTATCCTTTTAGGGACCCCTATATGCTCATGCGATCGCATGCGTGAAGCACTGTGTAACATCATCAGGAGCCCCTGAAGCCAATCATTGGATACAGCGAAGTATAGGTTGGAATGTATGGAATTGGACCAGTGAATAACCAACAAAGCAGCAACAGAGGTTTAAGACTTAGCTCAACATGCTTGTAGGGATCGTTTGTGCACATGAAATCATTCCGTCGATGGTTGATAGAAACCATATGTCTGCAATAGTTGACTTTATATTTTCGGTTGACTTTCAACTATCAAATACAATCAAGTAGACATATGAAGGTTTCCTGAAATAGGGCTAACCCTCCTTATCATCCATTTTATGTTCGGATTTTTCATGAACTAAACCATCCAGCTATTGGGGTAACATTATGGAAAACCCCCATGAAACATATCCATTGAAGGTCGACTTCAGCGAAAACGCCCCGCCTGGTGATGGATCGGAAGGACTCTTGTCCAGCCGTGTCCCAAATCTGAAGCCTGAGACATGCATGTCACAGAGGCGTCACAGTACGTCGTGGTACTACAATCCGCTGAGAAATTCATCAAAATATGGATTTAATGGTGGTTTAACCATTAACAAATGGGGATTCAATGGAAGTCCGTGGGATCTATTCGCCAAAATAGGGATATCATGGAAACTCATGGAACTTTAGCCGGTAAAAATGGTGATTGCATGGTGATTTAGTGACACTGTGTGGGTTTTGATTGACAACTCCCCAAGACATTGGTTGTTTTTCATGGTGATTCCGAGTTCACGGATGACAATCCCCAGGTAACGGATTGTATATAAAACTGGTTGGTGGTATACCTACCCCTCTGAAAAATATGAAAGTCAATGGGAAGGATTATCCTATATACTGTGGAAAAATAAAATTCATGTTCCAAACCACCAACCAGAAAAGGTAGTACCCGCTGGAAATGAAACATGTGGGATTTTCCATTGCTATGATTACCAGAGGCTATACAGCAAAGCCCCTAGAATCCTCAACCAACTCTGTTTTTTTTGCACACTGCAACATCATTGGACGCCAAAGACTTGGTTTTGCCAACAACAAAAAGGCTTTTCTCGAGGGAACAATGGAATGTGCCGGTGCCCTTCAAAATCACTCATGATCAACTGAATCAACTCATTGATAGGAGGGAATATAAAGAGATACCCCTAGGTTCACTTGTTGATTTTTCCCCATTTTCACATAGCTTAGAAAGGCTGGATTCACCCAGGTTTTCCGGGACCGGAAATCAACCGTGGAAATGGAAAATCCATCCGAAAAAATCGAGTTTTCAATGGGAAATCCATAAATGTGGGATTTACCACGTTTGATGACCAGAGGCAATTCCCGTGTTTTTTTTGGAGCCAACTCCCAATTTTGGTTCACAGCCCATGTTGAATGGCCCCAGCATATTGAGACATAGCCTGAGCAAATCCTGATTCGACCGAGGCACTTGATTTGTTTGTTATCGATGTTTATCAGCCGTGCTCCTGGCGAAATGGTGCCCAATGGTGCCCAATGGTGCCCAATGGTGCCCAATGGTGCCCAATGGTGCCCAATGGTGCCCAGATTCATCGTAGACTGGACGACAAGCAGCGGGTAAAAACCACCACATTTGGGGTTTGATTTGGAAATTGGGCATGAATCTCCTCCAAACTGATCCAATTTCTATTTTGTGGCAGGAACTTAAATATCCTAACTTTCTACACCGTGGCAGGGCCGAGACTGACGTCATGGGGTCATGGGTTTAATTACCCATCGCATCGACCAATAGGACAAGGAATGCGAAGCGATGGTTTTCGGGGTGCTGATGTTTCTTAGATCGCTATAAATCACTGGATTGGTTTAAGGGAAAATCTACAGGAAACCATGGTTTTTACCATCAAATATAGGACTTTCCTGTAAATTTTCCCATAATCCAATTCTATGATATAAAAATGCTGCTCTTCAAGAATACGACATATAGTGATACTAATAGTAATTTCTTTTTTCAAAGGATTGGTGTACGGCAAAAGTACAGTAAACCGTTGCCACTTAATGCATTTCCTTGTGCAAAATGTCGCATCATCCAAGTCTGCAATATCTCTTCAAAATGGCCGGAGTGCTCCAACGTAAGTGTGTGATAGAAGCATATAAACCAGAAAATTCCTCCAGCATAATAGCCCCTCTGAAAAATATTTGTAAATTGGGATTCTTATTCCCAATATGGAAAAATAAAATTCCATGGTTCCAAACCACCAAGCAGCATAGTGTTGTACTCTTGGCGACTGTTACACCACTACACTATGGCATGGCAAGATCTCTTCGGGGATCCAACTTAGGCCATTGACGTCACGGCGTGAAGTCGTTGTCATTGAAACAAATGATTGGTGGCTGCGTACTGTGGAGGATTATCATCTGACAAACGTCACTCACCATCACTTAGACATCACTTGAGATGGAGTAACCCTTCATTCCTGTTTGTAGGTGGGAAAGAATCACATTGGAACCATGTATATCTTCAGTTCTTTATTAGTTTATTGACATTTATGGAATATCCTAACTGGACTATAACATATTATATCGTTTACAACTGGGCCAACTAATATCCAACGAATATCCCAAGTAAAGGCTAGGCCAATTACTTCCTACCTGGGAACCTCCACTCCGAGGCTCTGCAGGCTGGGACGCCCCGCCAAACTCCACTCCGATGGTGAGATCGTGATCAGTCCGAAAGCGCTTGTCCTGCACCCAGCGCTGCGTGGAAAAACGCCCTTGAACTCTTCGGGATGCAAAAACAGTGTGTGCCCATGCAAACTTTTACATTGATATATCATGATATATCTACCACAAGTCCTAGTTTTTTGGTGAACTATACATCTACCATAAAACTATACAACGCGAAATGTTTGTTGGTTGAGATTCAGCCCATTAACTGTCGATATATCTACCACATATCCTAGTTAGCCTAGTTATAAGTCAACTGACTTAGCTAGAGGGCCTCACATTGTCAGGGGGCATATCGTTTCCTGTGGGCAAATGGAGCTTTCCTCGAATGGGGGTACTCCTAAATCATCCATGTTCTTTTCGGATTTTCCATTCTAAACCATCCAGCTATGATATCTCCATGGCTTAGGAAACCTCCAGAATAACAATACTGGGATGATTCCCCAACAATCCTTCGAGGTGCGCTAGCGCCAACCTCGATCCGAACCTTTTGCTTAACACATTACATATCATCTGTGTTCATTAACATCCTCCTCCTCCTTCCTCGCCAGCATCAGCATCATCATCATCATCATCATCATCACCACTGGGTCCTTGCGCGCTGGCTATTGTTCGACTTTTGCATGTCGTTTCTTTTTGTTTGATCTTGTTGTTCTTCGGGTTCTAGGGTTTTCCCGTCCCCATCGCAACAAGGTTGTAGAGCTTCTTCTCGTCCCGCAGTTGCATGCCGGGCTTGAGGTTCAAGCTGTTGAGGGTTGATTCAAATCATCCCAAGTAGGACATTGGCATATGGTTCTTGATGCTCTTGTTCCCATCATTAAAGCAAGCAGAGTTCCTTCATGTTTCGTTCAGCGGCAAGATTCTCTACAATTCTCCGCCCAAGTAGCTAGAAACGAGGAAAAGCTTGGAAATGGAACAACAAGTTCACTTGGAAATGGAACAACAAGTTCAACCAACCATCATTTTGGCCTTTGGACTTTCCTCTCCTATTTTGCTTCGCTAAATCAAACACGGAACCATATCCATATCCATCATATCATTCCATATCCATCGCGCGGGCGGTACCGGGTTACCCCGGGTCACCGGTCCGTGAATTGCAGCAAAAGGCAAGACTTTCCAACGGCCGTATCCCCAATGATGATGTACCTCGATAGGCGGCCAAGGGATCCAAGGGATGGGGATCTATGGGGATCTGGGGATCCACTTTGGTGGGCCTGGCCGGCCATTTTTAAACGTTTACACTTTGCGAACTTGAACATGGCCCAGTCGAAATAGTTGATTGTGATGACTAGCCATGAATCAGGGTGGTTTTCCATAGTTATGTAAACGTTTACCAGAGGGTATCTAACCATGTGGATGGCTAAAAATAGGCCAACTTTTTTTTGTGTGGCATTTGGTGCAGCGGAGATGGCAGCCAGTTTGGATGCAAGGAGAAACACATGTGGTGTAGACCTTGTGGCTTTGATAAGTGTCGTTAAGCTACACATTGATACTTGACTTTGAGCAGTTTGCCATTCAAGTCATTTCCAGTCCTTTCAAGTCATTCAAAAGTTCCGGTAGTTTGTCTTTAAATCGAATCATCCCATTGTATACTCCATTTTCAAACAACCACAATATACAAACGGGACCCCAAGATATAAGTTGGTGAACTAACCCGTTCAACTGAGAACACATCCGCCATAAACCCTATTGGATTTACAAACAGTTTATAATATCTATATCTTGGGGTCCCACATTGTTCCAAATCATTTCATTCAAATCCCACTATAGTTCCATTACAATCCCCATAAGGACCATAAGCCATAAAACAACACAAGTTGACTGATAATGCACAGTTACTACTCTGGCCCATCCATATTCCACGCGCACTTGAAGAGGTAGGCGTAAGACATCTTTGGAAATGACCTGCAAACGTCGAGCATCCTACTTTGTGAATCCATCACTTGAAAGACTGGTTGATGGTTTCAACCCCTCTGAAAAATATGAAAGTCAGTTGGGGTTCCTATTCCCAATATATGGAAAGTCATAAAATTCATGTTCCAAACCACCAACCTGAAGATATAACCCAAATATGAAGCCCAAAAAATGGCTTCTGGAGCCAGGGAGAAACATGTTGGTGCAAACCTTTGAACATCCAGCAGCAGTGGCTACACCAACCACCAAATCATTCCATTCCATGGGCAACTTGGTAACCCCGTGGAAACGGGATCCCAACCAAATCTTGTTGGTGGTTGAGCCACCCCTCTGAAAAATATGAAAGTCAGTTGGGATGATGAAATTCCCAATATATGGACAAAAAAAACTGTTCCAAACCACCAGCCAGAGATATACTATGCTTCTGAAGGGAGTTGGTGAAGATCTGAATGCATCTTGAGCTTACATCCAAAAGGCTGACTCCACGTGTTGATGGTCAAATTTCTACATTTTCATCATATCACATATCTCATCAGCTGGAGTTTGGATTCCAATTTTCACCAAGCATTCGCCCAGTTTTTTGCCCAGCTTGGGTTTGCTTCAGATATTCACAGTAGATTCTCCACCTGGAATCATGATCAATCAATGATCCAAGACCATACTCAATGGCTTGGCGGAAAAATTACAGGAAACCGCTCCATCATTAATGGCAAAAAAGCATGGTTTTCGGTTAGGATTTTCCCTTAAACCAATCCATTGACATACATAACTCGGGGTAGATTCTTTTCACCACGTGATTATCCACTTGAGCCATTCAGAAGATACCTATCCCATCTCATGAAATACTGGTTAGTTTTTGTAGGTTTCCCAATCCTATGGGTTATCATAATCTTCCATAACTTAGGTAGTATCAGTATCTGTCCCTAGTTCTTAAGCAATCAACCAGGGTATCGTTAATCATGGTGAATCTTTAGATACCTGCCAAAAAATCGAGCTTTTAGCTAGTTTTGCGGACGCATTTTACGATAGCAAAAGATTCAAAGTTCTACTAGTGAGTTGACACAGTAATGGTATGACCCAGTATATAACAGGGAAAACCTACCATAGCTAAAATAAATTATTAGTTATACTAGTTATAACTATAAACTATCAATACAATAGGTACTAATTTTGCAATTGATAGCAAAATAATTTTACAATTGATAGAAACCACGGTTTGGATTTCCATATGCAGTAATTGGGACCATAAATTGGGATGTTTGATGAGTGTGTCAGAACCTCCTGGTAAACATACAAAAAACTATGGAAAACCAACATTTTCAATGGCTAAATCCACTATAAATCACCATTTTCAATGGCTAAAACCACCATAAATCACCACTTTCAATGGCTAAATCCACTATAAATCACCATTTTCAGTGGCTAAATCCACTATAAATCGCAATTTTCAATGGCTAAATCCACTATAAATCACCATTTTCAATGGCTAAATCCACTATAAATCACCATTTTCAATGGCTAAATCCACTATAAATCGCCATTTTCAATGGCTAAATCCACTATAAATCGCCATTTTCAATGGCTAAATCCACCATAAATCACTATTTTCAATGGCTAAATCCACTATAAATCACCATTTTCAATGGCTAAATCGACCATAAATCACCATTTTCAATGGCTAAATCCCCTATAAATCACCATTTTCAATGGCTAAATCCACTATAAATCACCATTTTCAATGGCTAAATCTACTATAAATCACCATTTTCAATGGCTAAATCTACTATAAATCACCATTTTCAATTGCTAAATCCACTATAAATCACCATTTTCAATGGCTAAATCCACCATAAATCACCATTTTCAATGGCTAAATCCACCATAAATCACCATTTTCAATGGCTAAATCCACCATAAATCACCATTTTCAATGGCTCAATCCACTATAAATCACCATTTTCAATGGCTAAATCGACCATAAATCACAATTTTCAATGGCTAAATCTACTATAAATCACCATTTTCAATGGCTAAATCCACTATAAATCACCATTTTCAATGGCTAAATCCACTATAAATCATCATTTTCAATGGCTAAATCCACTATAAATCACAATTTTCAATGGCTAAATCCACCATAAATCACCATTTTCAATGGCTAAATCCACTATAAATCACCATTTTCAATGGCTAAATCCACCAGAAATTATAATTTTCAATGGCTAAATCCACCAGAAATCACCATTTTCAATGGCTAAATCCACCATAAATCACCATTTTCAATGGCTAAATCCACCATAAATCACAATTTTCAATGGCTAAACCCAGTATAAATCACAATTTTCAATGGCTAAATCTACTATAAATCACAATTTTCACCATTTTCAATGGCTAAATCGACCATAAATCACCATTTTCAATGGCTAAATCCACTATAAATCACCATTTTCAATGGCTAAATCCACTATAAATCACCATTTTCAATGGCTAAATCCACTATAAATCACCATTTTCAATGGCTAAATCCACTATAAATCACAATTTTCAATGGCTAAATCCACCATAAATCACAATTTTCAATGGCTAAATCCACTATAAATCACCATTTTCAATGGCTAAATCCACCATAAATTATCATTTTCAATGGCTAAATCCACCAGAAATCGCCATTTTCAATGGCTAAATCCACCATAAATCACCATTTTCAATGGCTAAATCCACCATAAATCACAATTTTCAATGGCTAAATCTACTATAAATCACCATTTTCAATGGCTAAATCCACTATAAATCACCATTTTCAATGGCTAAATCCACTATAAATCACCATTTTCAATGGCTAAATCCACTATAAATCACCATTTTCAATGGCTAAATCCACTATAAATCACCATTTTCAATGGCTAAATCCACTATAAATTCTCATTTTCAATGGCTAAATCCACTAAAAATCACCATTTTCAATGGCTAAATCCGCTATAAATCACCAAATTTCCATCGCTTTTTGTATGTTTACCAGGTTGGGTTACCAGTCGGTTGACCGCACTTTGGATGGAGATTACCGTCGCCTTGCTGCCCCCGAATCTGACGGCGGTCTGGCGATGAAAAAAGGCGCCGATGTCTTGGCCTCTGAAAAATCAGCGGTGGAAAGTTGAAAGACGTGGCAGTGTGTCAAAACCTTGTACCCCTGTAGTTCACATCAAAATAGCTGGGATTTATGGATGTTCATCCCACTAAAAATGGATTAACAGGTATTGATCCATAGCCACATGAGTCTTCCCAACCACCAGCAATTTTAAGGGAGAATTTCCCACAAAAACTAGAGAAAATATGAGAAAATCCCAGAAATTTGAGGGCAACAGCATGCGAATTTCATGGTTGGTCATCCTTTTTTCTCGTGAAAACCACCGTGATTTGTGGGTGCCACGCTTTCTGCAAAAGGTCTACCTGATGAACTATCCTGAGATACTGTCAGATTTTGTCCCGAATCACTGGACCTGGACATCACTGGTTAATCATCACTAACCAACTGGTTAAAAGTGTCTTCCCTATTGAACTTGGATTTTGGAGGTACCCTCTGGTAATGACTAACAGTTTGCTATGGAAGCCATGTCCCTAATCGAAATAGATGATTTTCCAGCTAGAAACCTCCATTTATTTTTGGGATTTCCATGGCTATGTTAAATAACCAGAGGGTATATTTGGATGTGCATCCCAGTTACAGTAAGCTGTTAAAAAAAACCATATGATACACCGGGGTCGCCTGTGAGTTCTCGAACGCAAGCTCTCGTCTGCCTGGGCATGTTGCTGGCCCCACCAACATGCCAATCGGCATGGAAAACCACCATGGTTTCCTCGGAATTTTAAGCTGAACCCTGGATGGTTAATCGCTTGCACCCTGTCCAGAGCTCCAAACCACCAAAACAGATGTTATAACATATGGCTTTTGATGGATTAAACATTGTTGTTGTAAATTTTAGGTTTGCCCGCGGCGAATCCCGCATATCCTTTGACATGCTCAAATCCCTGCGTAGGGATTAAGTTTTTTACTTTCCAAAACAACAAATCGTAAAACCCTAAAACCTAAACCCTAAATTAAAACCCTAAATTCCCTAAATCCTGAAAACTTAAAGTCAAAATCACTGCGTATAGCCAGTGTTTTCATTCATCCTCTGGTGGTACGTATATCATATTGTTTGGATGTGTTGTTTGAGTGTGGGCGAACCCGGGGTTAGGGAACATGTTGGTCAGTCACTCCAACATCTGAAGCAGATGTTCAACTATCCATAGTTATCCCCATGATATTCTGATTTGGATCTATTTTGACAAGTTAAGTCACCATTTGCTACATCATCTACTGGCTGGTGGTATACCTACCCCTCTGAAAAATATGAGTGAAAGCCAGTTTTGGGATGATTTTTCATTCCCAACTGAATGGAAAGTCATAAGATTCCGTGGTTCCAAACCACCAGCCAGCCATGAAAATTCCATTACCAGAGGGCTAATCACCATTAAATCACCATTAAATCACCATTAATATCACTATTTCTAGCAAATATGATGGTAAACATCATGAAGATATCACCAGCCAGTCTACATCTTCCATGCTGTGCTTGCTACCATACCCATCACCGCTTCGAGCTCCCAACGGATGTCCGTCGCAGCAGGAGTTGGGTCGCCCAGAGCCCGGAGCCGGAAAGGCGGCGTGAAGAGGTGGTCGACAGGGTCAGCTGGGATCTATGATGGATTCTAGTGGCTAATTGGATAATACCCTCTGGTAAACATACAAAATCCTCTGGATCCAAAGCTGGTATTGAATCTTGAATACCAGAGGATTCTTGTGGATTTACCAGAGGGTTTACCAAAGTGAATCTTGAATACCCTCTGGTAAGCGTGCAAAAAGCTATTGAAAATGGCCATTTTACCCATAAACTATGGTGATTTTCATTGATTTTCCATAGTTTTTTGTAAACGTTTGTCAGAGGATAATTATTCGCCATTACAATCATGAATAGATTTCCATAATTCTGGAGAATCATGGGGTGTAATGGCGGCCAATGGGATATGAAATTCTCTGAAATTCTATGAATGGATCGTAGATTTCTTAGATGATTAGATGGCTTGCAATAGGAATAACAATCTATGCATATGATCATATGGATATTATGAATCCTGGGTATCTCCCATGGTCAAGTTACATGGTTAGATCAGCTTTGGAATATCGAGGTGGCCAAAACGGAAGCCCCACCAATTTCCCGGCATGACCAGAACAGAAACATCCAAACATGCCAAAGAAAATGATGGCATAGAATGTTCTGTAATGCCAACCCTGGATTAATAAACCCCTAGGCTGTTTAATTGGGAGGGTACCATAAAAAAGTATCAGATTATGACTATTTGGTGAGTACCCCCCTGATTAATAAACCATGGTTTAGCCAAATCCGGGGTTGACATTATCCGATATCCATCCAATCGGTTTTATCACCAGTGAAACATCCATGGGTCCAACAGAAATATCCATTGGATCCATTGGTCCAGCCGACATAAAACCAGTGAACTTTCCTACTTAGATGGAAATCCAGGGCTTTCCTTAGAAATGGGGAAAAACCACAGCTTGCTGGATGGTTTGGAAGATGGATTTTTCCATAAATGGATGAGAACTAGGGGTACCCGGCCTGGTAAACCTTTACATAACTATGGACAATCACCATCTTTCATGGGTAGTCATCAACTATTTCTATGGCCATGTTCAATCGGTAAATCCACTATAAATCACCATTTTCAATGGCTAAATCCACTATTTCTATGGCCATTTTCTATGTCGCAAACTGTTTGTTTACCAGGTTGGGTACCCCCTAAATCAGGAAACCTCCAGATGTTCCTATCAGATCAGGGTGGATTCTAGTGACTCACTGGAGAGGAGAATGAGGACGGTGGTCGCCCTTAGCAATCACTCAGAGCTAGAGTAGCCAGAAAAATCGAGGGATTTGCCACGATTAGAAAAGGATGTGACTTTTCGATCTTTTCGGGAGTTCTTACTTATGGCGTGTAGATCCTTGTGGGGATTTGGGGGAATCAGTTGTGACTCATCCCTGGATTCAACTATTGTGAAATCATTCTGAGATAAAATATGGGACTTTCAAACGCATTCCCAGTTGAGTGAGGATTTAATTGAAATTTCCATATTCTATCTACTCTAGGATGACTCTCTCTCTCTCTATGTATGTATGTATATATATATATATGCACGAGTATATGATATATATATAATATGTAATATGTACGTATATTAAACTAAGAGTCATACTCAATGGAGGTTGTCCAGCCCACCATGTTATCAGTAAGCCTTCATTGCCACACCGCAGCACCGCGCATTGTCTCAGCCACGCAAAGCTTATCTTCTGCCTATTCGAATGGAAGATTCATCGCTGAGGCTGATTCGGATGGTTGGCTGATGACGTCCGGATCAGCAGACGAATCCCATCCCCAAAATCTTCATGGGATGATTACGTCAATGGATTGGTTTAAGTTTAAGGGAAAATCTTCACCGAAACCCATGGGTTTTTTAGCATCAAAAAAATATTGGGCTTTCGGCTTTCCTGTAAAATTTTCCCATCATCCAATTTTGCGAGTAGTGGGATATGATTATTGGATACTACTGAATGATCATACTGACTAATGGTATTGTCAAACTGGTCACAGATGTTTATATCGTAATGGGATGATTCTATAGTGGGACACATTCATTTGATAGTGGACTCTTATCATGATCATTCCACTATAACAATATTATTCTATGATTATAATGAGATTCTACAATGGAATAATCATCGCCCAAATGATTGAATAGCCCCCAACAAAGTGGACCCAAGTTATGAATAGATCACAAACGAAATATAACGTGTTTCCTTGTGGGTTCAACCAGCGGCCTCAAGGCAGTTCTCATCTTCAACATAATATGGAGACATTTCTTTGGAGCCATCAACCACCAGGGATGATCAGATCTGTTGTATCCTTGAGTTTTGATGATTGATTCCTTGTCGAACGGAAAAAAACACATCCTTCGATTTTAGGGCTACCGAAAAATAGGTGGATACCCGCGAATAGACACGATCCACATTTTAAACGCTGGAGCGAAACGTTGATCATCCAAGACAATCATAAATCCACTGGTGATTGGAACTTTAAGACCCATTTGGGGGTTTCCTAATTTACAGTGTTTCATAGTTACCAATAGTTACCAACTGGATTCCAATAATATACATATACATATATATATATCTATAATAGGGGTCATTTGGATAGGGTTTCTCCATTAAATCACCAGTGGATCATCATCCAACCCTATAAATCCATTTGGAATAATATACATATTATAATAGTATACCAATAGTTACCAACTGTTATATTGGTATTCAGTTGGAATTGTTATATTAGATACTATATTACCAACTGGATTCCAATAATATATATATATATATTGGTGACTAAGATAGGGCTATTTCAACTAATATACATATATATATATAGGGGATCCATATATATTATATAGGTTATTCCAATAATATATATATATATATCTATAATAGGGGTTTCCTAAGATAGGGCTCCTCCAAATCATCCAGTCGTCTTGCGACCTGGTGACTTGAACCCCACGGGTGACTTGGATGACCCAGCCATCTTACAGCGAAAAAGTACCCGGCCTGGTAAACGTTTACATAACGAACTGGAACATCACCATGTTTTTATGGGAAAATCATCATTTTTAATGGGAAAATCACCATTTTTAATGGGAAAATCACCATTTTTAATGGGAACATCACCATTTTTTATGGGAAAATCCACTATTTCGACTGGGCCATTTTCAATAATAGCAAACTGTTAGTTCAATTACCAGGCTGGGTAAATCACCATTAATTCACTATTAGCCATTAATAACCTCCATTAACCTCCATTAACTCACATTCACCGGGCATAGTGTCTCCACCATCCGGGGACGAGCCGCTTCGCCCGCTTGGCTCACTCGGTGAGTTGGACCATGAGGTCCGTCATGGCGCGGATGCTCGGGAAGTCAAAGACCTGTGGGTGTTCCATGTGGAACGCAGATCGCCACCAGCAGAAAGTCAGGGATTTGGCCTCTGGTAAACTTACAAAAAGCTATGGAAAATGGGTGATTTATTGTTGGTTTACCGTTTTTAAAGATGTTGATTTTCCATAGCTATGTTAGTTTACCAGCATCAATAGGGATTTACCCTCTGGTTAACTAAACTGGTTGGTGGTGCAATAACCATCTTGAAAAATATGAAAGTCAATTGGGAAGGATGACATCCCATATATGAAATGGAAAAAAATGTTCCAAACCACCAACCAGTAAACATAGCTATGGAAAATTGGTGATTTATAGTTGGTTTACCGTTTTCAAAGCTGGTGATTGTCCAAAGCTATGTTTACCAGAGGGTAGATAGGGAGATGAATTGATATAATGTTAGTAAAGCAATAATAAACCACCCATGGGGTATTATTGGGATTTAATGGGATATAAATGAGATCAATGAAGGTTTAATGGGATATTATTACTGGGATTTACCGGGATATAATTTTCCATAAGGCTGAGGCAGGTCCTCATTCCCCTGTTGCGTGGCACGACACACCAGTTGTGGCTAGTCATATATGGTTTTACTTTGCCATATTTGATTGGCATATTTGGGGGTATACGGCATTTCGAAGCATATTGTGTTCTTTGACCATATGGAGGTTTCCTGAAATAGGGCTACCCCTAAATCATGGATTTTTATAGGATGTTCCCTTATAATCCATCCATTTTTGGGGACCCCCATGACCGTGGAAACCCCCATGGCATGGTAGATGTTCCCAATATTGGGACACACCTCATGGAGGTGTATGGAGATACAACATCTTGGCATATCTATACACCTATTTTCAGACCATGAACAGATCCATTGATCCGAACATGGGAATCTAGCCACAGTAAAACCATGGAAAAAAACAATGGTGGTTCATGGTGGTTTATGGTGATTTAATGGTGATTAATGGTGATTTAATGGTGATTTATGGTGGTTTATGGTGATTTAATGGTGGTTTATGGTGATTGGTGGTGATTAATGGTGATTAACGGTGATTTAATGGTGATTTATGGTGGTTTATGATGGTTTATGGTGATGAAAAAGGTGGTTTATATATGACATCCATCCCCATGAATTGTGAAGTAATTATATAATTAGCCAGAAATGAACATGACGACCCTGCCAGGAATTGGGGCTTGGAAGATTTGTATCCACTAAAATCAGGCTATTTTTAGGGTCTATGTGAATTGCGGGGGACCCTCAATTTAGCATAGCCTATTGGAAAAAACATCCGCATTATTCCGCAGTTTTTGGTGATGTTATTCGGGTATTTATCTATTGAACATGGTAATTTTTCCCGTATGTGAAACAACCAAAGGTCAAATCCCATTGAATCCCCAATCCCATTGGATCTCATATGAAACCAAAACATCTCAATCCCCCTTTCAATATCTTTTGATGATTAAACCAGGGTTACCCTCTGGTTATGTCAAAATAGCTATTGAAAATGACCCATAAAAATAGTGGATTTTCCCATGAAAAATGGTGTTTTTCCATAGCTATGTTAAATTACCAGAGGGTAAACCATGGTGAAATCAATCCCATGAGTTGATCCAATCCGTTTATCCGAGAAACTAAGGTGCTGGGCAGCTCGGCGCCGTCAAAGGTGCTGCCCAACTTGTTGCGGAACCTGGGGGATGTCACTGGGAAAAAACTGGGCGGTTTTATATGACTGAATTGGATCGTTAAGATGATAACATGATGATCTAAGATGTTTTTTTCTAACATGTAATTATGGATCTCAGATGTTATCACTGTTTTATGATGTTATCACTGTTTTGGATCTCAGATGATTTAAAGTGATTTGAGATGATTTAATCAATAAACATAGAAATTTATAGATGGTTGTTGCCTGAGCCGGTTTGTAATTGGTACCGATGGATATGCCTCCGGACGGGCTTATGAAACAACTCATGCCAGGCATCACTTTGTATCAGGGACTTGTGTGCTCAATATGCTGGAAATGTGGTTCATATCCAACAACCATCTAGTTTCTTATGGAAATCCAAAGGTTCAAAGACTTGTGGCTGTGTTTTGATGCGTTGGATCTTTTTGTGCTGCTTGATGGACAATGGTCCATTTTCTTTGCCTGGGGCGTTTTCAATGCCCCAAATGGTACATATACACCAACGCCTGAGAAATTATGCTCAAGCTTAGGGCCTTTATTTCGCAGCTTTTGTGTAGAGTTCACAAAAAATACAGTGTATTGCGGTTCTCGTTCAACGGCAATCCAAAGACTCTTAAGTATTAAGTTTGTCTCGCAGAGAATCTTAGGACAAACTCCGCAAATAATCTCCATGGACGAAGTCTGCAAGGGCATTTCACCCCAAACAACACTTGATATGCTTAGGATTACTGTATAGTGATGTTCCAGCACCAATTTCCAATGATGTCAATATTATCATGAAATTCTAAGGGTGCCCCAGGTCGGTAACCCCCCAAAACAAACAAGTCCGGCCTTGTTTCGGAGTTGTTCACCCCCATGAATCATACATCTTGCTTACTGAACCATTACCCTCTGGTAGTTTAACATAGCTATTGAAAATTGCCCATTTGTAGTCGGTTTACCATTTTTAAAGATGGTGATTTTCCAGTTCGCAAACTGTTAACGTTTACCAGAGGGTATTGTATAGTGGTATGTGCCTATGACAAAAATCTGGGCATTTGCAGCGGCCGAGCTTGGTCAATCTCCATGAACTCCATCATCGACATCTCCTGCGAGAGCTTCTGCATGGCGAGCCTGAACTTGATGCCGTCACCATGTAAAAGAAATTTGCAAATGGTGTTGAAAACTCAACACTGTCAGCTTGTACATGTCAAAGTCGGCATAATTGAAAATTACGTAGGACTCCGTAGGACCAAGGAGCTTCAAGGATGCTGGCCGACGTCAGGGAGCTCGATGATGATGCCCAACCCGTCACTCAGTTCAACTTTTGCATTCCAATACATTGTCACATGGGCATGCGGCATGGATGTCATTTGGTGTCTATCAGAATAGGGCATCCGAAAGTTGCATGGTAAAAATCATCACTGTCCATCTTTTAAGAAGAATTTGGGGATATCCCCCATTCTTCGACAAACGCGAATGAGCAGATTGTTGATCCCTACTTATCCCCATTGAGAATAGCATCACTATATAATTATATCATTAATGTTCATGAATGACCTTCACATTACCCATTATATCCCATTGTATCTGATTCCATCATATTCCATCACCCCTCATTACATCCTCATTTTATCACTATCCCGTTGCATTCCATATCATCATGTTCCCTTTTTCCTTTAAATATCCCGTCGTGTTTTTCCACCATCACCGAGGTATCTAGGATGCCAGACACCACTGCGTTCATGCTGTTGATTCCTGGCGCGTTTTTAGTATGTACATTGTGAATATGGGATGCTTTTGTTGGGAAAATTTTCGGTTAAAACTATGGTTTCCACCTCAACATCTAGGGCAATCTAGGGGTAAACCCTGTGAAATCTGGTACTCGTATTGGATTTTAAGGGGAATGTGAAGTATGTGTGTAACAACATATTGTTGATTTGCGCTTACCCTTGAGCAAAAACCATAGAAACCATGTGCTGGTCCTACTCACAAGAAACAACATCTTCTGTACATGGCGAATATTGGGATACTCCACACATTGTCTGGTTGGTGGTTTCAACCCCTCCCCCTCTGAAAAATATTAGTCAACAGTCAACAGGAAGGATTATCCCATATATTATGGAAAATAAAAAATGTTCGAAACCACCAACCAGCCACACATTGTCGTAAAGAAACTCCACCATGTATACGTGGCCAAACAGGGGGGACATTCGCCCAGTTCATCCAAGGAGTCGCGAGTAGCATCTTCTCACTACGCTAGGTGTCAGTTTTTGAAAACTACTGGGGTACTTTTACATTCTCCAGCCTGTGATTGAAGTGTTCCATCCAATTATTGATTGAAGTCTTGAAAGGGCTGTTTCGTCTTCTTTTTTATCCGTTGTTTTACTAATATTTGTCTTTTTGCGAGCTAAAAAATATGATCCATGAAAGGCAACTCTCTATGCGATGTTTCGTTGTGAAGCATCTTTTCCGATTTTTTGTTTTTCAATTGGAAAACTCCTCCACTGGAAAACCCTTCGTTCCAATCTCAGTTCGATCGTCGTTCTGGTGAAGGTGCAATGCTGTCCCACCAGAACCTCAGTCCGGATCAGTGCGATCTGTGTCCAGGTGAAGAAGATTGGTGAATTCACAGAGGTTTCCAATCAAACAATTTAACCATCAAGTGGTTATATGGTTAATATATGGTTATTATCATATGGTTAATGATGGTAAATCAATCAAATTTGGGATGATTTCTCTTATTAACCATGAGTCATTGGTATATGGGGATAATTCATGGGACATATAATTAATCTGGTTGCTGGTGACTTAACCATCTTGAAAAATGATGGAGTTCGTCAATGGGTTTCGGATGACATCCCTACAATATGAAATGGAAAATAATCCAGTCATGTTTGAAACCACCAACCAGTTGTATATATATATAATTATATATATATGGTGTGAAAATTTGACATGTTTCCCATATATGAATTGGAAAAATATATATCATGGAACATTTGGAACCATAGATCCATGATATATATATATATATTTCCATGATATATAATTTCCATAACATACCCAGTATATATACCCATATATACCAGTTGTGAATCTTCTCAAAGAACAACAGATTTCCCCGACAAATTTCCTGGTGGATGATGCAAACAAGAGTGCAATTTTGCAAAACGTCTCAAGTCATAGAAATTGAAAAATGACGGGTGAAGATTGGTGATTAATAGTGATTAATGGTGATTAATAGTGATTAATGGTGGTTAATGGTGGTTAATGATGGTCAATGATGGTCAATGATGGTTAATGGTGGTTAATGATGGTTAATGCTTCACTGTCAATGCCGAAGTGAGTGTCAGAACACAAGTGTGGCTTCTTCTTCACCTCATATGGTTCATGGAAAGGTCTCTTGGCGAAGTGGACATGAGTGTATGGGGTTCGGACATGACATTTGGTATGCAATGTTCACACATGTGCAGCAAATACCCATCCGAATATATATAAAAACTGAATTCTTTTTTCATTGCCGATGACGGGAACCGCATACCTCTTCGCGATTTTGGCATCTAGTATCTATATGATATGTTGCATATGTTTAGGCATTGAAAAAGGATGGTTCCAGGTGCCATGTGACATGAATTTGGCATTCTTGCCGCTCCACGCTGACTCTATGCGGAAATGAAACGGACATTTGACAATGTATTCCCTGTATAAAGTGGTTCGTCGTATATTGACCAACTGGGGTACCCCAATAACCATTGACAATAAAGTGGTAAACCCAATAATCAACCACATATCTTGTCAATGGGAATTTCAGGATCCTAAAATGGAGGTACGTAAACGTACCATATTTTTGGCCATATTTTGTGGGGATATTCCCTGAAATTTAGGCCAGTGATCTTGGTGCTTTTTTCAGAACAATTGACATCTATAAATCCTGAAGACCATCCCGTTGGTACCCCCAATCCTGGTGAAAATTCCCATCTGGTTCATCCCAGCATGGGGAATCATCCCTTTTTTCCCGGCCTGGTAAACGAACTTACAAGAAACGAACTGGAAAATCACCATTTTCCCGAATGCGTAGCAAGGGTTCCCGTTTCACTCTGGGGGTCTGGGGGTTGGAGTGTGTTCGCTCGACGTTGCGTTTGTGGTCGCAACCGTCCGCAACCGTCCGCAACCGTTCGCAACCGTCCGCGCGAGGACCGTATGGCCGTGCCTATGGGAAGTTCTGCAGAGGTGGTAATTTTTGGAGGTTTCAGACGTGTCGTTGCTTCGTTTCGCGTGGCAGGCGTGGCACTTCGTGACATTCAGACGTGTTCCGGAACGTGTCGAAAGTCGTTTTGCGTGGCAGGCGCAATACTTTTGCGACGTTTTCAGAAGATGTGTTGCAGTTTTCGTGGCAGGCGCAGCACTTTGGACGTGTCCATCGCCATTTTTCGTGGCAGGCGCGGCACTTTAGACGTGTCATGTTGCGCGTTTTTTGCAAATCGCATTGGCAGGGCTGCGTCAAGTGGCGACAAGGTGCAAATTCCGTGGCAGGCGTGGCATTTTCTGACATGTGCTGAAAATTGACGGAAGCCTCGCACGAAACATCGATTTTGAGGTTGCAAATTTTCACGTTCTAAGGAAAACTCGTAGGAAAACGTCGATTTTGAAGCTACAAAGTGTGAAAATTGGAGGAAGTCTCGCACGAAATGCTCGTTTTGGTGCTCCCACGTGTCTCGTCTCGAGTCTCTGGTTTCCCTGTGGCCTCGCCGTGTCTATGGGGGAAGCTGGAAAACATGTTCTTGCGGCATGTTTCAAACTATGAAAATTGGAGGAAGTCTCGTACGAAATGCTGATTTTTCTGCATCCACGTGTCTTGTCTCGAGTCTCTGGTTTTCCTGTGGCTTCGCCGTGTCTATGGGGGAAGCCGCAAAACCTCTCCTTTTCGAAGGTTTCCAAGCAGCTTGTCATGTCGTTTTGCGTGGCAGGCGTGGCACTTTGTGACATTCCAACGTGTTTGATAACGTGTCGAAAATGTCAAAATTGGAGGAAGTCTCGTACGAAATGCTCGTTTTTCTGCATCCACGTGTCTCGTCTCGAGTCTCTGGTTTTCCTGTGGCTTCGCCGTGTCTATGGGGGAAGCCGCAAAACCTCTCCTTTTCGAAGGTTTCCAAGCAGCTTGTCATGTCGTTTTGCGTGGCAGGCGTGGCACTTTGTGACATTCCAACCTGTTTGCTAACGTGTCGAAAATGTCAAAATTGGAGGAAGTCTCGCATGAAATGCTCGTTTTTCCTGCACCCACGTGTCTCGTCTCGAGTCTCTGGTTTTCCTGTGGCTTCGCCGTGTCTATGGGGGAAGCTCCGCACTCCACACTCTACACTTTACACTCCACACTCCACAACCTACACTTTAGACTCCACACTTTACACTTTACACTCCACACATTACACTTTGCACTTTACACTCCTCACTCCTCACTCGAGACTTTACACTCCACACTCCACACTTTACACTCCACACTCCCCACTCCCCACTCTACACTTTACACTCTACACTTTACACACTACACTCCACACTTGACATTTTACACTCCAGACTTTGCACTTTACACTCTTCACTCCACACATTACACTTTACACTCCACACTCCTCACTTTACACTCCACACTCCTCACTTTACACTCCACACTCCACACTTCTCACTTTACACTCCGCACTCCTTCCACTCCACACTCCACACTCCACACTCCACACTCCACACTTTACACTCCACATTCCACACTCCACAATTTACACTTTAGACTCCTGACTCCACACTCCACACTCCACACTACACTATACACTCCACACTCCACACTTTACACTCCACACTCCACACTCTACACTTTACACTCTACACTTTACACCCTACATTCCACACTTTACACTTTACACACTCCAGACTCCTCACTCCACACTTTCCATTCCACACTCCACACTCCTCACTTTACACTCCACACTCCACACTCTACACTTTACACTCCGCACTCCACACTTTACACTCCACACTTTACACTTTACACTCCGCACTCCTCTACACTTTACACTCCGCACTCCACACTCCACACTTTACACTCCGCACATCCTCACACTTACACTCCGCACTCCTCACTTTCCTCACTTTACACTCCGCACTCCACACTCCACACTACACTTTCCACCCCACACTCCACACTCTACAATTTACACTCCACACTCCACACTTTACACACTCCACACTCTACACTTTACACTCCACACTCCACACTTTACACTCCGCACTCCTCACTTTACACTCCACACTCCACACTCTACACTTTCCACCCCACACTCCACACTCTACACTCTACACTCCACACTCCACACTTTACACTCCACACTCTACACTTTACACTCCACACTCTACACTTTACACCCTACACTTTACACTCTACGCTCCACACCCCACACTCTACAATTTACACTCCTCACTCCACACTCCACACTTTACACTCCGCACTCCTCACTTTACACTCCACACTCCACACTCCACACTCTACACTTTCCACCCCACACTCCCCGCACTCTACACTTTACACTCCACACTCCACACTTTACACTCCACACTCTACACTTTACACTCCACACGCTACACTCCACACTCCACACTGCAGACTGGTAACAGGGGAAATATGTACAAGACTGTTCAATAAACTATTGCAGAAAAGTGTTCTATTGCATATCCATGTGTTTTGACATCTGCGCCATTAACATACGTGTGAGCATTCGGGTTCGTGGGCTGCATCTTGTTTTTAATGGGAAAATCACCAAAATCATCATTTTTTATGGGAAAATCACGATTTTTTATGGGAAAATCACCATGTCTTATGGGAAAATCAACTATTTCGAATGGGATTTCTAATGGGAAATCGATCAAATGGTTTATAACTAAGTTGTTGTGCGTGCGTGCGTGCGTTTATAACTCCAATTTCACTAGACAGGACTTCTGGTAGAAGAAAATCTCCTGGGTTTTTCTGGGGTTATAAACCAACGTTCACATAACTGGGGGGGGGTACCACATTGTATATTTGCAATGATCATTGCTTCCTATGAATACTGGTATTAACCATCCCGAATATGGATGAATATCATGGTATATCATGCTTATCATGCTAGTTTGGTTATAGTTTGTGATCTATCCATATATATCCCATTATGTTCCCAATAAATGTCCGCTAAGCTTAATCCAGATCTTCACCCTCTGGTAAAATAACATAGCTATAGAAAATCCTTCAAAAAGAGGTGTATCATGGCTTGTCCGCGAAATTTAATCCATATCTTTAATGCTTTTGTACAACTGACCATGGCAAAATCGCTTGGGCCTCCGGACCATCTGAAGTGAAGATGAAGAGGGCGCCGGAGAAAGAGGAACCGACGGGACATGGATGGGTTTAAGGGAAACTCTGTTTGAAACTCGCTGCTTTTTGTTGCCAGGTTCCTGGAGAAACAGAAGAAACAATCTCGAAACACTATGAGTGAATCAACAAGAGAGGGACCTTTCAGAAAAAATACAGCATATGTATGTAAGACAGCCGACAGTAGCATGAGTCAAACTATCCACCTGACAGACTCGTCACATTCGTCAGATACTGATAAATAGATTACATACCAACGTGACATTTGAAGAGAGTAAGACACAAACCTCAACGCCAACAGAACCCACCCGGGGTCATTTTCCCCGGTCTGCCTATATCCATCAATGGCATGTCACGGTCCTTAGATTGGGATCAAAACAAAACCACTGTCCTTTCCTAGCCTCACCAGAGTTTCGTATGCAAAAGCCACCGAAACTGGTAGCTTTCAGGTCAACATATGGAGGCTTCCTAAAATAGGGGTACCCCCAAATCATCCATTTTAGTCGGGTTTTCCCTTAGAAACCATCCAGATATTGGGTACCCCCTTGACCGTGGAAACCCCCAGTCATGGGTTTGTCATGGTTTGCCTGGATATTTCGAGGAATGCCCCGGGATGCAATGGATAACCATCATTTTCAGAGACATCCATATTGGTATTACAAGGTGTACGTACGGTCAGTTCGTACAAACCTCGATTTTTCAGATGATCATCGAAGGGGACTCAGTGAACTAAGTGACTCTAAGTGATTTGTAGTTCAGTAGTTCAACTAATGTTTGATGAACTACATTTTGATATGTTCAGTAGTTCAACTATGTTCAGTAGTTCAACTAATGTTAATTCATATTTTCATGATGTAGCGTTTGAGTATCAATCTAGTTTTTACATTAGTTAAATCCTGTTTTTACCACTATTAGTCATGGATAAAACACCCATTTAACCCTAACATAACTGGTGTCCATAACTGGTGTCCACCTTTGGGGGATCCGTCACATACCCGGCCTGGTTTCCACGTTTAACGATGGAAAATCCACCCATTTTTCATGGCTAAATCAGCGAAAGATCCATGGCAATTTTCAATAGCGCTAAATTGTCAGAGGGTTTTTCTGGAGCCCGGCCTTGTAAAATGCATGATTTATATTGATTTACCCTCTGGTAATTTGTTACATAGCTATTGAAAATGACCATTGAAATAGTGGATTTTCCCATTAATAGCATGGTGATTTTCCAGTTCGCTATGTTAGTCATTACCAGAGGGTATAACATTTTATAACTTTATAACAATCTTCAAGGGGGTGATTCTTAGTATTTTTGCTTTCCACTCGATGATTGGCGACTTGGGTGCATCCCTGACACGTCTGACACTATTTCCCAATGGTTTTAAGCCATCTGTTAAACACACAGTTTATGGTTTCTAATTGTAGGGACCCTTTCGTAGTCAGTACTTGATAGGGTGCAATTCCACTTGATAGGGAGCTGTACAGCAATAGTTACATCCCAACTTATTGTGATTGTTTCACAATTGTTTTACCCGTGGCACCGCCAAGTAGAGGCCATTTACCCCTTCATAAGTTCTTCGTTCTACTTGGATGTGCATTTGAGGATTCGTGAATGGTTTTAGATTTTAGATTATGTATGTGTGTATATATGTTTTTCCTGCCCTGCACACTGTCGGCCTCTCGAGCACTCCAGCACGCTAAGAAGAGGAAATATCAAGGTCAACGCCTGCCGGCGCAGCGACTCCCTCATCTATCGTGATCGATGACACGAATTGAGGTCCCGCGTTGTTGGCTGCCGGGCCATTTACATTCCACGCAGAAATGACTGCTGCTTCGCCGATCCACACCGTCAATGACTCAGAGGAGGCAGACAGCACGACTCCTCCCGTGGCAAGTCGAATCGGACGGATTGAATCTTTTTGGATATGCCCCAACCCTGCCATGTACACTGTGCGTAGTGCATCCATCACCTGCGCAATGCAGATTGAATCCATACTGCCGTTCCATCTGGCGTTATTAGGCGGGTCATCGGCAACCCTGTTGCCTGCAAGCTGGTGCAATTCAGTTTCCACGGGTGCCCCCTTCACCGTTTGCCCATGGAAAAGACTAATGCAAACTGTCAGGAAGCGTTTGCAGGACACTCAGATCGTCCTGAAAGCTGTAACTCATCATCTTGGACCCACTATCAAAATCAAGATTATATATATGTGTGTATATATGTGTATGTATATATGTACCATGTGTATGTGTGTATATATGTGTATGTATGTGTATATACATATATATATATATGTACCATTATACACCGATATCCATAGTATAACCTTCAATCGAAACCAATCATCTGACTGGGGATATCATCCATCTAGGGCGTTTTCAAAAGTACCCAATTCTATATTGCCCACTTATGCATATTATTACATATATATAATCGCTCGTATAAACTACATTCACATTGTTGGGGCTTGTGAAAGTGGTAAGCCCAATAATCAACAATTCCCCAAATCACTATTTTTATGGGTGGTATAAACCATCCCCGAATGGTAGTTGTTCATGGCAGCCAGGGTTGCCTACTTTAAACTTGTTATCCACGAACATGACGATGCCACCAAGTGACGATATCATGGTCACTACCCACCATCCCCTTGATGACCTGCACCGGCGAAAAAGTACTGCTCAAACGGCAAATGGGGAAGTCCCTGACAGATATGGAGATCTTATGAGATGTCGATTGTGACTTTAAGCCAAGCATCACGCCAATCGCGCAACACCCTAAGCATTCATCCAGACTTACCCATGTAAGAAATGTGAGACGTACCCTTTGATGCTACCATCTGGACTGTGAAATCAGAAGTAGTCGGGGTTGGTTGAAATCAGCTGAGCACTCCGATGAAAGATGACTGATCTCAGATACAGATACCCTGAACCTATCAATTTTGAATGCAACGTAAATACACTGGTTCTTCATCGAAATCCCTAAGCAACTGTTAGATCATCACCCTTCAACAAACCATTCACTCAGGTATCTCTATCTTTGTTAAATCTCACATCACCATGTGATCAGCTTACTGGTGCTTAGTAAGGAATGGATGGGAATGGGGGAATGGGATGATTGTTATTTGTGATTATGGATCATTCCCTCATTCCCTGCTAAGCACTAGTAAGTCAGAAACCGTCCGAATGCAGGTTTAGCCAAATAAAAAGTGTTGGACTCAGGAGCAAGCGCACATTTTGCCATGCACGCATTTGTTGCAGACATGACTTACGTCATGGTGAAGAGACAACCGTTCCTCAGGTTGTTTACGGCCTCTTGCAAGGCTCATGCATTGCCCATGGCAGGGCCAACCACAAAAAGAAGGGCTTAAGCCCACAGGTTCATGGCAGAACCTCTACTTGGTCCATGGCAGGACCTTTCTTACCAAAAACGCAAAATCAGGCTGCTGTTTTCCGTTTCTTTCCCTGGGTTTTGGGTCGGGAGGGAGCCTGAAGCTGCAACACATGCAAAAGTGCTCAATGCACATCGTCCAAATAGTCGAGACGACATCCTTGGACTCAGGAGCAAGCGCACATTTTGCCATGCACGCATTTGTTGCAGACATGACTTACGTCATGGTGAAAAGACAACCGTTCCTCAGGTTGTTTACGGCCTCTTACAAGGCTCATGCATTGCCCATGGCAGGGCCAACCACAAAAAGAAGGGCTTAAGCCCACAGGTTCATGGCAGAACCTCTACTAGGTCCATGGCAGGACCTTTCTTACCAAAAACGCAAAATCAGGCTGCTGTTTTCCGTTTCTTTCCACGCCTTCCATCATGAAAAGAATGATGCTCGTTGATAAACATCGACGAATATTTTGCAACCTGAAATTTGGCCCGGTATGTCATGGAAAGGCGCGGCAGCATTGCCAGCCCATCACAGATATAAAGGCGGGCAACGCCTGAATTCTTCCAACGTCCTCTGATAAGCGTCTTTTCCATCAGTCCATGAGTTTGCATCTCGTAAGTTGCGCCTCCCCGACGGAGGCTATAAGGCCTGAAGTTGAGCGCGGCAAGGTCCAGCTCAACCAGCACTCTTTTGAAAAGAGATCGGAAGGCCGATCCACTACGATCCCATAAGGGGGTTCGACGGAATCCCAGCTGATTGCGAAGATCAATCGCCACCTGTAATACATCCAAAGTAATGGGATCACGAATGGTGACACTCTCCCGGGTGTTGTTACGGATGCCGCTTTTGCTGCTGGGTATAGAGACCACTCCACTGTATTGATCCATAATAAAATCACAAGGCCGGAGTTGCATTATTTCACCAGTTCTGAGCAAACAGTGAAAGCCCAGCAGCAGTAGCGCACCCATAACCAACTCACCATTGTCAATACACCAACCTGCCATTGCAAGACAGATATCCTGTGGTAAGGGGGGTGCTCGAAAGGGGACTTCAAACTTCCTCCAAATCCCATAGATACGCCAGGACTGCGTCAAGCGCTTCCGGGTATAAGGAGCGAAGTGATGAAGTCCGCTGAGAGCATCCCCCACAAGGTGTAATGGTGTGCCATCCTCGAATTCATTTTGAATCCATTCAGCCACCAGATCATCCAGCTCGGACTCGCTCCTGGCAAGTTCAAGCACGGGAGTCAACCTCTCCACAGCCAGAAAGTAGCGTTGCAAAGTGGCATCCGTGACCCCAACGTCTTCGAGCACAATGTTCTGGCGAGCGCGCTGCCGCTGCTGACGGGTAGAGTGTCCCGGCCAGAAATTATGCTCGGCTGTCATGATCGGTGGGGTTCTCGGTGCTCTCTACATGAGAGATCACCAAGTACAAGTCGAAGGCCATCAGAAGCGCAGCCAGCCGGGAAAGCAAAGGTTTCAGCATCCTAGCTGAGCTACGGCCCTTTGAGATGATGCTCATTGCGACATATGAGTCTGTGAGGTGGAATATCCTAACCTGAGCTTCTCTCAAATGTCTAATCCTCCATTCAATGGCCTGGACAATGGCTCGAGTTTCAAGATGGTCATGCTGCTGCCACTTGAACGCGAAGACCTTGTTCCACTTCCACCACGTGGCTGCGGCACTCTGACGTGGATATGACTTGGGATTCATGATGGAACCGGAGGAAATCCTAACATCAGACCCCGTATGGTTAACTCTCCTTAATAAAGCTGAGTGAAGCATTGCAACTGAAGTGGTCTGTTCACAGCTACCATAAGCCAACCGCCGTTCAAGGGGAGCCAACCTGTTGATGGGACAACAAAACCCTGGTGCTAGTCCCATCCTGTTAATCAGTTGTTTGTAGGGAGGCATATCGATCCAGGCATTGCATAGTTGGGCTGCCACATATACAAATGAAAAGCAACTGAAGGAGTCCCCAACAAGTGTTTTTCTTATATCTTCAAAGCCTTGAGGATCTTGTTTGATGGCTCCCGCATTCCATGCCAACGCTGTATGTTCATACCCCAAACCATGCAGGAGTTCCCGCTCACTAGCACTGGCCAGCCGCCATCGGCCATCCACCCAAAAGACAAACCTATCATCATATTGATAGGGGGGAACCTAAAATCGTCAGCAATCCAACGAAGTCGGCCATCATTAGAAACCCGGTCCAATCCTGCAGGTTTGGGGGGTGGCCTAACCCGTTTGATACACTTCATGCAAGTCGGCAAAATAGCCCCAGCAAAGTAACCCGGCCATTCCGCATCAGGTTCCATCCATTGTTTAGGGTCAGGGTAAGGCTGTTCCATGTGAACCTCAAACCAGCGCTCCTTTTCTTCCACCCAGACCCCATCCATTGCAGCCAGCTCCGTATTGGACCAGCAGTAGCGAGGCCGGTGAATCGGCACCACATCAGCTGGGTCCATTCTCAGGGGTTTAACCCCCAAGGCCTGGGAAATTTCAGCTTCTGCTGATGCATCCATGCTCGCCACGTTCTCCGCCGCGAACTTCACCTTGAATCCATACCCGAAGACCTGACGTATGAGCTTGATCACACGTACCATTTCCCAGAACAAGCCACTCTCTGGGTCATCCAAGTTGAGCCGACCAGCACGTACTGCAGACAATCCCACGCAAGGGAAGCCTCCCCAGACATGGATCTCTTCCACAGCCGGGTAGGCTAGGCGCCACTCCCTCACTGTGGCAGAAAGAATCGACCTGACATCTTTTTCGATTCGGACATGAGGCCACCTTCGGCTGGTGATCCTATTGCCTTCCTTAGACAACTCATAGCTGATGGCGACCAGAGGTGTCACACCAATCAGGTCATAACACCTGAAACAACATCCGATGCCGTTGAAGAGTGACAGCACCAGGATGGGCAGGGTCCGGCCGCCCGATTGTTCTGAATGATCTGCAAAGGCAAATTCCTGTCCAGACACTGTCAGCTCCCGACTCTGTCCAACAGCACCGCCTGTCATGGAAGCGTCACTCGCTGTAGTAACGCTACTAATCTTTGCCCGCAAGTTTGAATGGATCATGAGACCTATGCAGCAGCAAGCGAACAATTCCTGCCTGACTCGATCTTCAGAAACCGGGCGATCCGTCTTCCCAGCGAGGTATGCCCAGGTCTGATCCAGCACAACCATCGCGGCTCTTCGAAAAGACATGCAGTGCACCCATCGACCTGCAATGACTTGTATCCATTTGTGCTTCAACCTCTTCTTTCCAATGCAGACCAAGGTTGTCTGTACCAAACGCAAGAGTCTCTCAGCGCTTGGACCAATAGTGCCCGACCGACCCTGGAAGTATGCCCCAAGTTCCTGAACAGTGGCAGCTCCTGCAACTCTCTTCTTAGCTGAGGACAAAACTCCTTGGTTTGACCAGGCCTCTTCCAAGGCATCGTGCAACGAATGCCCGGCATCGGCGCTTTTGCCAGCCGTAGTCAACTGCATTGCACAAAAGTTGTCCAGATACACGTGATACCAGGGGCGGTTCTGCTTCTCAGCCTCCTGCATGGTGTTGGTTAACCACACCGGCAAAGGTGCCAGTCTCCGGACTCGGTTCTCCGGCGGGAGACGCGCAAGCACTGTCAGCTTCTCGGCAATCTCCTGCATCACCGATACTGCCGAATTCCAGCCCATTGGAATCACCGCACACGCCGGGCGAAAATGAGTCTTTGCATCAAGACCCAAAAGATGGCCAGGGTAAATTGCATTGAAACACATCATACGTGACCAACCCGCCGGAATACGAAAGAGATAGAATGCAGAAGACATGTCACTTTGAAAGAAAACAACATCATGATCATTGCCAACCACCAAGGACAAATATTGGGTGATAGCCGGAAGATCTTGTGTACCCCCCCGTGCCTGAGCTAATACTGCATTAGATGGTATTAAATTCATGATTGTTCTCTGTAGTTCAAGTCCGGGTTCAACGCAACTACCTTTTCCAACAGCGAACATCCCATTGAGCACCTGTGCACCTCGTACTATTAAAACATCATCATCAGCCACCCAAGTGCAGATGTTTCGCTCAACCAGTAGTTTGAAAAAGTCCAGATCTTCCCCTGCTTTGATATGTACCCGAGCTTGTAGTTTTACATCTTTGGGAGGGGCCTCAACCAATGACTCTTCGGGATGTTCTAAGAACCATTTAGTGCCATCAGAAACCAGCCCACGAGCATCTATAGCCCCCCCATGACTTGAAGGTGGAAGTGCCCCTTTAGCCGCCTTAATTGAAAGGACTTGCATTTTTGGCACCTCCTCCCCAGTATAACTAACAAACCGCGTTGCCAGCTCTTTTTCTGCCTGGGCTGGCGGTCGCTCCAGTGCAAAGTCAGCTGACAGCACCCTAGAGACGGTCTGCTTGATGTTCTTCAGTGCATCAGCTTGCATTGCAGTTGCCCTTCGACGAAGGTCAGCGCGGCCGTGGCCAGCTGTACCGTTCAAGCCCAGCACAGTCACTGCTGTCCAAACCTCCTCCATTGACAAGTCCGCAAAATGCGGAGCACAAAAAGCAGCAAAATCACTTGTCCATGCAGCCTCCCGAACCCTCACGAGGTCACCCAGGGGTAAGGGGAAAAGAGGCCTGTGTCGTTTGACTGGGCCCCGGTGCATGGCGTAGTTCATAGCTGTCCTTCCCATGATGGCCAGTCTGACACCAACCGATGCCCCCACATCCAGGTCGAACTGAGGAAACCTGAAAAGCACCCAGGCCATAGCACGCCCAAGCGAGTCAAAGCACGAGCATCTCTCAGCTAAGACATTAAAAACCCTATGGTCACCTAGCCAACCAGGAAGCGAGGGCGCGGCCGGAGCCAGCCTCACCTCCAGTCCATCACTTGAAACTGAATTCTGTGAAACCACCTGAGCCCTCACGTGGTGGGCTTCTTCTGTGCATCCTCCTTGTTGTCGCGCCAGGGGTTCGTCTCGCCTTTGCTGCCCCAGCCCTGGTCGCGGTTGGCTCCTTTCCCTTTTCCTTTGCCCCTGCCCTTCAGATCGCCCTTGCGACCCTTCTCGTTGCCACTGCCGTTGTTCTTCCCCTTGCCAGCGCCCCCCCACCAGCGAGTGTTCTGCCCCCAGCCTTGGCTCTTTAAGACCAGGCGACGGTGCTTCTGGGCTTCCAACATAGTCGCTGTGGAGGCGCTGGCCACTGGTTCGAGGGGGAAGAGCTCTAATTGGCTCGCCGTCAGCCAATTGCCCTCGCTCAGAGCAGTGTGAACTGCTATGAAGCGGGATGCTAGAGCATCCGCTGTCTCCGGTAATCGTCCCATCCGGAGAAGATCTATGCTCTGAGCCAAAGCATAGAGCTCCCTGACCAGCGGGGAGTTGGTCGCATGAAAGGGACGAATTAGGAGGGCAAAGTAGGTGGACACCTTTATTCCACTTGTCAGGCCTGCCTTTGAACCGTCGCTTTCTAACAGCGACCCGCGGTCCATCTGTTCCTGTGCGTGCCTGATCAACATCTCCATGACACTGCCAGGCTGCTTTGCCGCCCGCTTGCGGAGTGGGGCCTCGCACTCCAGATCGGTGTCCTCCTCGGAGTCCACCCGGCCCCTGTCTGCGTCTGCCCTTGAAGAGTCGCTGTCGTAGTCGCTTGAACTGGATCCTTCTGGATCCCCTGGATCTGGCTTCACTGCCACATCGAGGTCCTGCTGTGCCCTTCGGCGTTTTGCCTTTCGGCTCTTCTTGTCCTTCTTCTTCTTGCCCTTCAATAGGTTCAGCAACTGCTGGACACTGTCCTTCCTGGACTTCTCGCGCTTCTTCTGCTTCCGGTGATCGGCATCCCGGGCCGACTGCTGCACGGCTTGCGCCAGCAACTCGGAAGCTGCCCTGCTCCCCCCAGAAAGTTTCTTCGTCAAGCGCTTCGTATCTACGGCGCTTGTATCCTCCAATCCTCGCAATCGCAGGGGGGTCTGTCTCGCAGGGTTGAAGGCAGTCCCAGCTACCAGCCTGGACTCTCCCACTGCACGGCTTGAGCCAGCAAGAGCGTCGCCACCAGTCAAATCCTCTGCGGCCGTCACAGGCCGACCAGGGCCTTGACCACCGAGAATCCTCTCTTTTGTTCGCCGCAGCGTATCTCGCAAGGCTCCACGCCGAGCGGCGGTAATAGGTGAGGCAGGCCCCCCTTCTTCTGCAGGGCCCTCCTCCTCGTCGGACACCAAGCTGATCGTGTCTTCCAGACCTTCGACCTTGAGGCGGCCTCGCCCGGGAGTAGTGCCTCGCCCGCGCCCCCGACTTGCCGGAGCGCGTCTGGCTGCAGGCCTTTTCGCAGTTCGAGCCGCAGGAGCCCGGGGGGTAAGCGACCTCTTCTCCTTGGCAACCGCTGCTTTGAGGATGTTGTCTCCCCCGCCAGAGAGATATGTGCAGCTGAAGTTCATAGGTCTCCACAATCTTACCCTTGTAGCGTGAATCAGAGGGACCTCGTCTGCCGTCAGTGAGCAGGGGTCTCCGGGGCAAAGATGCACGAAACCTTCTTCGAGCACCGCCACAGTTTCCACTGACAAGGTGGGATTTTCTGTCCCCAAAAACCGGCCAGTAACCTGCCAGCCATCTGCCACAGAGCCCTCGACCTTTTCCACGAGGACCGCAAACCACTCTTCCGTTCCAAGCCCGAGGGAAGCCCCGGCGTAGCATACTTCCAAAATAGCCCCATGCGGGATCACCATCTGTTTCCAAATGGGACCATCCACTGTCACTTCTGTGCCTTCCTCCACTCCAAAGCTCATAGGGCTTGGGAGCATAACCTCCTCTGTTGGTTTCTTTGACATTGCTCCTTCTAAAGGAGCGAGGGATCCTTGTCCCAAAAAGAGTCTGGCTGTCGGTAATGAAGTCGCTTGAAGGGATCTTCAGCTGCTCTCCACAACCTTGCGTGTTTGGCACCCGCTCGGTGACCCTTTCTCTTGCCTCTCTTCTTCTTTTTTCCTTCTGGTCGATCTTGATGTCGATGTTCACGGTGTTCACGGTGACGACGCCTCCCTGAACCGTCCTCGCGGCGCCGATCCCGGGACCGAGAGCGCCGACGGCGTGACCTGTCCCTGTGAGGGGTGGGAGCACGACCTGCGTCAGCTCCGCGCCTCTGATCAGACTCCGGACGCTCGGGGACCCGGCGCCGTGGAATCTCCGAGCGATTGTCTACTCGGCTTTTCGGAACAGGCTTCAGGCCCGAAGCTTCGGGAGGGACTTCTGTGTCCTCAACCTCGTCCTCCTCTTCTCCGGACTCGGAATAAGCAGAGGGACTGCGAGGATCAGCCACTTCCTGCTTCACCTCTGTAGGGGGGCGAGTCTCCTCGGCCCTAGCCTCCTTCTCGGGAGGCGGTGGGGGCTCAGGCAATGAGTTGCCTCGGCCCGCTGAAGACGCCCGCTCAGGGGCGTGAGAGGAGGCACGGCCCTTGCCAGCCTCCACAGGGAGCGAAGGCCTGGACTTGCCGGCCCCCGCAATCCCCAGTCGGCGCAGGGCCCGGACTTGCCGGGTGGCACTCACCAGCACGTCCTGGGCCACACTGCGCGACCCTGGAGCCCCCCAAGCCGACCTGAGCTCGCCCCGCAGCTGCTCGATGGCCGAACAGGCCAAGCACCAAGAATCCCCTAGATAGGGGTCAGCCTGTCCGCAGCTATTGCAGCGAACAGACATCCAAACCTTTGAGCCTGAAGCTGCAACACATGCAAAAGTGCTCAATGCACATCGTCCAAATAGTCGAGACGACATCCTAACTTTCTGTAATTCCCAAAGCTACTGGTTGGTTCACGGCGGGATTCTCAGCGGCTGATCGCCAGCAATCAACCTGCCGGAAACCCCAAAATTGTCATTTTTGTAGGGACAAATATGACCTATTATCAGGCAAACCCACAAAGCAGTGTAAACTACTACCTAGCCTCATAGCAAAGGAAGAGAATGGAAGAGACAACAGGAACAGTAGTTAGTAGTTGAACGCTAAAGATGCCATCGCCACACTCGCAACGACCCGACTTGGTGGGTGCCACATGATGTTTGCCACACCGCTGGCACATCAAAAAATGCCCCTCAAGTCGCCGGGCTAGGTCCTTGCCCATCAAAAATATGAATCGAAAGATGCGTTGTGACAAACTGGATAGACCAGAGTTTCACACCCCATTGTTCTAGTTTTGCATCGCTGCAATCAATTGATATGCAAACATTTTTTTTTTTCGGCATGGAAGTTTGGAGATGCGCCGGCTGAGCAGGTTGTAAAATTCTGGTTCGATTTCGAGGAGGCAACTGTCATTGCTCTCGAGACCAAATTGCTCTGTGAGCATGCAATTTGTGGCTTGTATCCTGTCTTTTTATTCACATCACCATCTTCAATCCTTGAACATCACCCCTATTGTTGGTTAAATCACAATGTTTTTTGCTTGAAATTACCATCATTGTGGGTTAAACTCTCTTTTTTCTTGGTTGATCTCACCACTGTTTTTGTTGCTGCTGCTGCTGCTGCTGCTGCTGGTGTTGTTGTTGTTGTTGTTGTTGTTGTTTGTCAAAACACATTCTTTTTAATGGTTGATACCCCATCTGATAAATAAACCTCCTACCAAGAGGACACCGGCATTGCTCAGTCGGACCCGCCTCTTGGATTTTGTTGGTGACTATGCTAGGGTCCACGGTACCTGCTGAGGATGTGGTATGTGGGATATCAGGGGATATCTTGGATGAGTATTTGACTGGAACATATGCGGATATGTCGTGAAATTCGGGTATATGAGGATCTTGATGATTGCTTGAAAAAATTATCGAACTAACCTTTTTTGATTGTGGAAGTAGAGCTGCAGGAGATCCACAAAAAGGCTCCACATGGCATCTTCTTCGGGTGCTGATTTGCCATTCAGAAATAGGAACCAACAATAATTCACCCACCTGAAATGAAGCAATAAAATAATGAAATAGAATCAAACCACATCGGTGTGCGTCCAAATTAGGATATGGGAATATATGGGATCTAACAACAGGGCAAGACATTAAACCATTCAAAAAACCTGGCAGCCCCACCATTGGTGAAACAGGAAATAGATTGGAGCAACAAGAACATCTTTTTTGAATCGGTAAGAAGAACCATGAAGCAACCACCATCATCAGTCATACCGTAAGACCTTATTAAAATCAAGCGTTCATCCACCAATAATATTTGGTTTAGTCTAAAACTGATCGGAATACCAAAACCACCTACTTGGCCGCTCATCCCACTTACTAAGTAGGAAAAATATCCCTGGTTGCAAGTGGGATAAGTAGGGTTAGTCCACTTATAACTAGGGTTATAACTTACTAAGTGGGATGAGCTACCAAGTAGGCTTGTAGATTTCCTAACACAAGAATGGCGCGGCTCCAGTTTTCGTTGGGTGTCTGTGGATGACCAATAGGGGTTTTGTCACTAGGTGATTCGAGGACTCCCGTTGTGCAAGTTCAATAGCTGTGATAGTGTTGGGAACTCTTCCCCCCCATAGCATTGGGGGCTGAAAATCACAATATGCTACGTTTCCTGGGTCCTTAAAGACAAATGACATGTGCTCCTCTGAAAAGTGGAGAATCTGACGCAATGCTGGTTTGTAGCTTGAAGCAATCCCCGAAAATATCAAAGTATGGTATGAGTCAAAACCCTGGTAGCCTAGGCCTAAATTCGGTGGTTTTATTGGATGTTCATTCCCCAAAACTATGGTAGCTTATGTTTCGACATATCCCCATATCATGTCACATCAATGGCCATTTCAGGAACCGATTGATTGGAGGTACCTACCAAATATTTTTTAGGCCTATTTTTTAGGCCTATGTAATTAAGCGAATATCCCTACAAAATATGTTCTTATATAATGGTTTCCTAAAATGGGGGCACCCCCAGTTCTCATCATTTTTATTTTCGGGTTTTCCATGACATAAACCATCCTAAGCTTGCTTGGGGGTACCTGTCATGTATGGAAACGTCCTTCTGCTGGTAGGTTCAGGTATGGGCCTGATGGGATTGTGCTGTGGAGATATCTAGACGTGAAGAAATCGTGAATAGATTTGGTTCAAACCAAGTGAAAAAAAAAGGTGATCTACTGAAGTACCAAAAAGTGATGTTTCAAAAGTGATGTGTCTCTGTTCAACCCCCAAGCCTAGCTTTCAAATCCGTCGCTTGTATGTTGAGAACTTCCTGCAGATTTAATTCATAAGATTCTTCCCACATGGATTACCCTCTGGTAACTTAACATAGCTATGGAAAATCACCATTTATAGTGGATTTTCCCATTAAAAATGGTGATTTTCCAGTTCGCTATGTTAGTCATTACCAGAGGGTAATCTATGCTAATCTATGCTAATGGCCCGTGGAAAGGATTTCAGTAAATTGTTCAAGGTTTCCCCCGGACATATTCACGTGCTACTTCTAGACTCAAAAAACAAACATGGTGCGTTTTCGTAAGTTATCGTCATGATCAGTAATCAGTGATACTCTAACTCCTTCCCCATCATTAAAGAAAAGGATAGTTATGGAATGTTATGGAATCATTAGTTCATCATTAAAAATCACATCGCATGATTAAGTTTTACATCATACATTATGATCTGTTCCCCATCATTAAACAAAACAAGTTCATCCATGGTGATACGGGTATCCCCAAGTCAACTTGTTAAAAATCATTTTCTCATATAATACTCCATGGTCAATCCCCATTTTTTTGATGGTTAACTTGCCAAAGGGTAAATCATTTATCCCATTATCATGACATGATTTACAGTGGCTCATAGTTACCAAAAGTTACCACCTTGTGCAGCATCTTGTCCATGCACAGTATCTCTGCTTTTTTCACCCCCAAAGTCACCATAAATGGGCGGTATAAACCATCAACATATGGTTGGTTTGTTCTGGTTTATTATTGCTTTACAAACATTACCCTCTGGTAAACTAACATAACTATGGAAAATCACCAGTTTTACTATGTAAAACAAGTATAAATGGTCATTTTCAATAGTAAACTGTCACAAATTACCAGAGGGTACTTGATATTACCAACTGGTTGTTGAAAATCCTACGTTTTCATCTTCCTTAGATTCCCCTTATCCCTCAACACCCCATTCTATCACTATTATATCTCCAAGATGTTCCCATTTCTAGCAAATATGATGGTAAACATCATGAACATATCCCCATGGTTGTTGGTTGTAATGTTGTATCCCTATGAAAAATCACCATTCAGAAATTCCATTACCATCTGGTTATGACTCACAGTTCGCCATGGAAAATCACCATTTTCAATAGGTAAACCATCTATTTCGATTAGGGCCATCTATACCATGGCTATGTTAGTCATTACCAGAGGGTACCCCCATGTTCGGTCAGGCTGAGCTTTCCCCACGCTGTGGCGCCATCGCCATGTACGGCATCGCCAGATGGGGCATTTGCTGCGCCATCGCTGAAGCATTGGCAGCCTGACAACGCGGGCCGAACAACAAAGGTGACGTGGCTTTTATGGGGCATGTGTATGGGATGATCATGGGATTTTAGGGATTTTCTATGGGATAAATGGAGGTTTAAATGTTTTTTTTAAATGAGATTTTCAGCCTTAAATGATTTTAACCAACCCAACAGGGTGATTCAATCCACAACAATTGTGATTTAATGAATGCGGATGGTGATTTTAGCGTTTCAATGGTTTTTTTTTTAATGGGATTACCATGGGATATTCCACTGGGGGTGCATCTCAATGTATGTGGTCAATAACTGGATTATATCCCACCTATACTGTTGTTTTTGGAATA